AAAACTTAACGTTGTCTTTAACATCATTCCTTTACCTTTTCATTGCTGACCAATCCCAATATCTATGCTTATGCCACCTGCTTAGATGTACTTAAATCTATGTATGTGACTGTGCGCAGAAAGTTTCACCTGAAATCGTTTTACATTCCACCTGTTTCCTTTGAAGAGTTTGCACAATACAAAACCTGTCGACTATTTGAGTCCAAGTTCCAAAACCCAGAACTGTTTCTGGTCTGGTAGAGTTCATTGACGTATAAATAGAGCCTATAGATATAATGTTTGAAGTATTTCTGTCTTTATGTTGAAGCTCTGTTTTGTCTGCTTTCTTGTCATATAAATCTTGAGCAGTGAATTTAATATTATTTTCATCCTTCATGACATAAATCTTTACATCTAATGTTTTTCATCGTCGTTATGTCGTCATCCGATGTTAAACCTTGTGGGAAGTTAGGAGGTTTACAATATATGCATCCCACCAGTTTCTTCAACCGTTCCTTCAATACTTTCTATAGCAACAGTTGTAAAACTTGTATGTGTATGTTCTTATCTGCTTTCTTCTCTAACTCATCGTTAACATAAGTTTTATCTGCTTTAAGGTCTAACATCCTGAAACCCATCTTGTATCGGCTTTTAGTTTTTTAAAATCTTCGATGTCCATTCATGGTACCAGTCACCCTTTCTTTCATTTCGTTTTTTTCATCACATATTCTTATCTGCTTTCTTCTCAACATTACTAGCCACATATTCCTCATCCGCTTTCTTTTCAAGGCTGACGTTATAGTTTTATTTCAGAATAGAATGTGTATGAGTCTTTTTAGAAATTTGTTTCAGCTCTTGGCCTTCACTTGACATTTTATTGTCAACATATGTTTGTCTGCTAGTTCAGGATGAGTATGTTTTTTGTTGCATAAGCTTTGTTAGCTCTTTCTTCTTCTTGCTATTGCATCGTCTACATATTCTTTGTCAGCTTTGTTGTCAACATCTGCTTTCAAAAGAAGTTCATTATAGGTTTCTCGTTTAAAGTTCCTTGTTTGGATTTATACGACAGTATGGTTCTTCTTGTCTTGAAACAGAAAATCATCTGTCATTGGTTTAATGTCAGTTTTAAGTTTCCTTCTTTCAAATGACTCAGATATCTTAGAATAGTTTGAAAAAGTTGTTGTGTTCTTATTTAGAGTTGGCTTCGCTATGAGTTGCGGTTGTTTGTATTTTCTCTCATAGACGCTGTTTCATTTGACATTTTTATTCTAGATAAATATGCTTTCAATAGAAAAAGAAATTCAGGAGTTGCTACAACAAACCATTAGATGAACTTTTTACTAATGTCGGTCAAAAGTTTGAGACAGAGACCGTAGCATGAAGGCTATCGTTTTGACTACCCGTTAAGATGGTTAAGAGACCCATCCGTCACAAAAGCTATTGCTTTCGTTAGAAATGAAGTTTTCAGAAGCCATACATGGTTTCCCATTTACAGTCGGTTTTGAAGTTCGATACTATAACAAAGAAAAACGTATGTATGAGAAATTTGAACAGGGAAAAACTTTTACAAGTGAATTTGCTTGTAAACTTAGAAACAACTCTTCAAGCTTTTCAAGAAAAAATAAACGACATCTATATCGAATATGCAAACCAGTATAACATTGACGAGGGAGAGTACCATCTCGATATTATTTATGACAGGAAAAATGCAACTGTTAAAATCAATAGAATAGAAGACCTTGGAGAAAACGTTTATATTTCTACAAAATATAACAACTTGGCATGGTATAGATTTATGAGGATGTTAAATCAGCCTGCAGAATATCCAGTACACCCGGACTTTTATGAAGTCGAAAACCCTAATGGAACATATGAAAATGTTTTCGACCCAGATGCTATTATCGTTCATGCTTCATTTTCTGGTGCACAAAACTCTTTCTTATGCTTGGCAAATGACTTTTACGAAAAACCTACAAAGTTATACGAACCACCAAGTGGAAGTATTTCAGACTTTCAAGTATGGTTTACTACAGATGGAAGAAAAAGAATAATTCCATTATACCATGCGTTTTACTTAGAACTTAGTTTCATATACAACTACTATCGAACGGTAAAAATATAATTTTTTAATACGGTTGAGGTGTTGGATTTGGTTGCCAACTAGACTGTGGTGCAGGTTCAGGCTGTTGTATAACAGGAGCTTGTTCTTCTGGTTCAGGGTCTTTAGGTATAATACCAACGAACTGACCTACTCTTTTACCAATATTTTTGACACCGTTCCAAATTCCTCTTCCTACGGTTTTTATTCCATTCCATATACCTCTTCCAACATTTCGAAAGAAGTTTCCAATACTACTGAAGAAACCCATTTACTACGTGTAAAAATCTAATGTCCGCCTAGTCTCTTACGTTTCCTGTTGAGTTCCATAGCATTCTTTAACTGGAGCTCATACATTCTGTTTCTCCTCTGGTAGAAAACATATTCTGGGTCAACTCCTGTGTTCGCGTCATCTGCATAAAGTTGTTTATATCCCACTTCAGGGTTTGTATAAAACTCTTTCCATCTCATATTTGCATACCATGGTGGCAAACCTAACGCAGCGTCATTTGACATGGCAGTTTGCATTTGTACATCTGTTGGCACTTGACCATAGTTTGCCATTGCAGTTTGTATTCTAACTTCATTTGGAATATTCTCTGGGTTTGGTTGTCCAGGTTGCTGTGCATTTGCTAAGTTCTGTGCGTCCATTTAATATTAGATAAAAATATCTCTTACGAGTACATATACTGAACATTTGCAGGCATTGGTTCATCTTCATATTCTCTATATCTTTCTGCCACGTCAAAGAAATAAATGACACAATGGAAAAAACCTAAAACAAGTAGTCCTATTTCAAACCACATTTACTTACTAGTAAAATTTCTTTGTTATGACACTTTCTCCGGTTTATAGGACCTCTCTCATATTCTATCTTGTCATATCTAAACTCATAGGCATGTATGTCCTCTAACCATCTCATAACGGTTTCCAAACCACTTTTATCGGATGTAAAGTAAAAGCATGGATGGTTATGTAAAACGTCTAAAGTTTCTAAAGAGTCTCTCAAAGTCCAGTCTACTTGGTATTGAAAATCCCATGTGTTATAGAACGGCGGGTCCACTATAAAGAAAATATTTTCCTTGTCTTTATATTTTTCATACAACTCTGTCCAATGACATCTCACAAACTCTATACCCTCAATATATTTTTCTATGTCCTCTTTGAAAACATTTGTATAGTTAAGATATAAAACTTTTGACATAAGTGTTTCAATGTCATGAACTCTTATAGAACCACTATATAATAGTCTAGCAGATATACTATCCCAGTCTATATATTCTGCTTTTTTCAAAACCTCTCTCACAATATTTTTGTTATCTAATGGTATACGTTCCATCTTACCTATAGGTATCTTTTCTTTTAACTCTTTCAATATATTGTTTGTGTCTGGAATATGTTTGAGACGGTCCATATAGTTGTCGAAGTCATTGCATATAATCTTTGAGTCTGGGAATATTGTATGGCACAAATGGGATATATAGAAACTTCCACCGAACAAATCTACAAATGTTAGACCATTCGGTAGTTTCTTAAGTTCTCTCAATATAATATCTTTACATCTACTCTTATTTCCAAAGAACGGTAACGGTGGTTTTGTAAAATTCATTTATATATAATAATAAAAATGTTTTTACCCGAAAAGTGACAGAAAAGTGACAAAGCATGAAAACATATATAATTTGTGAAAAGCTCCTGGAAGACCCGTATATAAGAACTTCATTTATACTAAACATCTTCAGGGCTAGAAGGGGCGCAGCCCCTGGAAGCCCCACTACCTTTTTTTTTTTTTTTTCATATGGTTTTATGATAGATAAGCATTATATTCCCACTCATTATATTCGTAAATTTTGAGGTTTATCCTTCGCTTTTAAGATTATTGAATTTGATTTTTATATAAAATAGTTATATATTAGAAAATAATATGAGTTTATGTGATATTATTTTTCAGAAGATTTCATTCTATATGCCTATGAAAAGTACTCTCAAAACTAACTTTTCCTAATTATAATTAAATCTAGAATATTGTATTATGCTTAGTATTATTTCATTTTTCTCATTTAATTTAGAATTTACAAATGTCAAAAAATTGAGAGCTGTCACTTTTGATGAATTTCTGTTTATTACATATTTTGCATAATTCTAAGTAGATTTTGTAAAAAATCAAGAAAGAAAAATTTTAACGTGCTTTATTTTTTCTTTTTTATAATAATACATATTATTATATAATTAACATATTCATAATGTTTCACCCTTTCAAAAATATAATCCTCCTCCTCTCAAATAAACGTACATACGGGTGGCCTCTTTTTTCAAAAAATTAAAATTTGAAATTTTGGGCTCAAATATTAGAGATTTTTTCAACCTTCAACGATATATTTTGTCTATATCAGACCTCCTTTCTTTTTGATACTTAGCATTGTTCCTAAATCTTAGCCGTTAAGGCTGTTCTGAAAATATTTTTTTTTCGAAAAAATTCGAAAAAAAATTCTTAAAATTCAAAAATCCCTTAATTCCTGAGGATTTTGGAAAAAAGTTTTTACATGAACATGTGTATATTATATGAAGTATATTGATAAGGTAAAAATCAAATTTTATTGCATATTCATCGAGAAAATAAACTAACGAATCCCTCAAAATTGAGAGGGTAATCCTCCTCCTCTCAAATAAACGTACATACGGGTGCACCCTTAACACAAATGAAGGTAAAAATATATGAATTAAACTTGTGTTGCAGCTTTTGATACATTAGCGCTAGATTCACCATCATCTTTTGGTTCACTTTTTGCAAATTTAAATGCATTATAAAGTGTTGTAGAGCAAAAAGCTAGACCACGGACCAAACCAAAAGAATCTGTGAGAGGATAACACCACATAAGGTGTACAGCGTCGTCCTTTTTGACATAGTACATTAATAACGAGAAGCAAGTAATTACTAGGAACTGGGATAAAATTGAGAGAATTGTAGCTAATCCACCCTTTTGGAAGGATTGAAGAATAGCTTGGCAATTGAATCGACCAAAAGCAAAACAGCCTAACGCGTTTCTGAATCTCATCATTGGTCCAGCCCATTTGAGATATCCATCGCTGGTGGAAAACATCATTGATAACTCACTAGGAATCGTCCATGTCAAAATTGTTGTTAACGATCCCCACAGGAAATTGATCCAAAAGGCGTGTCCAATAAGCTTGAGCCATCTTGCATGTTTATTAGCACCATGAGAGTATGATGCAGCTGGAATAATCTTATATACGAAAAAGGAGATTTGACAGAATGTCAAATCTCCTCAAAAAGTGACAGTTTACATGGCAAACAATTGCGAGCAATTTTTAGCCATTTTGGCTGAGAACTAGGGTCTGCGAGGTACATAGATAGAATCAGTACCTCGCAGACTCTAGTTCTCTATATGGCGCCGAGAAATTTTCGTGAAATGCGACGACATTTCACCAAAATTTTCTCGACACCATAGGATGAATTGGAGGGTGTGAGATACTATTACATATAATAGTACTCACCCCCTCCAAAACCTCGAAAATCTCAAAATTTCCTGCAATTATCATCAACTTTGCATAGCACAATCGGCCAAAAATTCATTCAATTGTCCTTCTTCTCAATATTTCTTAACTCTTTCGATTTCTTTCAAAATATCTTTCAATAATCTTTCAATGATAAATATTATACAAAAACGATTAGTATGAAACTTTTTTGCATTTTAAAAATATTTTATATTTCTGTTTTTATTTCAATTTTTATATTTTTATTTTCCTTTTTTTAGATGAAACTTATTTGTTTACCAATATTCCTTATTTTATAAAATTTTTCAATTGAATACTACAATAATTTTATCTCTCCTTTATTAAATTTTCGATTTTTATGTTAATTCTAATTCTTTGCACTATTTCTTGTCTAAATCTTCTAAAATTTTTATTTTAATTTAATTTGACACATAATCATCCTTTTAATTTTCGATTCAAATCCTTATCCTCTTCATTATTTTTCAATAATTTTTTATCGTAATTTGTAAAATTCGTTCTTTTATAGCTGTTTAAATAATCCAAAACCATGATATTTATTATTGTTAATTATTCCTAATCATGTTTTTTCCATTAATTTTAATTTTTTATTTTCTGAACCATTTAAATTAATTTTGTTAAGAATATTTTTTCAATATAGACTTCTGAAATAATTAAATTATTCTCAAATTCTCACAAATTATTTCATTTCAAATTTGTTTAAAATGAATTTGTACACCTTAGTTGATTCAGCTTGGCTTGAAACAGCTCTAGCACAGATTCAAAGGCGCACACCGTTAGCCATTGTTCTCACAAATGTTCCATTAGTCAACAACACTATTCGTTCATCAATTAACAAGATAACATTTTACAAAGCTCTCTTATGTAATAGACTAATTACTATTGAAGAGTACTTACATCATACATACAAACTTCAAGAGTTTACTACTTTCTACATTAAATATAATAATCGACTCTACGAGTGTTCATCCATTTTGAAACACAGAGATGACACTCTCCTTACCGATTATTTGATATTACAAAGTTCAAACGACTCTCGTATACAGGAAGAACCCTCATCAGCCAGCACTCCTCTACAACGCCAGCTTTCATCAGCCAGCACTACCAACTCTGTTCCACAGCAACAGCTCTCAACAGCCAACGCTCCTCTACAAAGCCCACTTTCTGCCAACACCCAGACACAACGCCAGCTCTCTGCCAACGCTCCTCTTCAACGCCAGCTTTCATTAGCCAGCAGTACCAACACTCCCACACAGCCACAACTCTCTGCCAGCACTCCCCCACAACTCCAGCTCTCGGCCAACTCTCTTCCACAGCAACAACTCTCTGCCAACACCCAGACACAACGCCAGCTCTCTGCCAACTCTCTTCCACAGCAACAACTCTCTGCCAACACCCAGACACAACGCCAGCTCTCTGCCAACTCTCTTCCACAGCAACAACTCTCTGCCAACACCCAGACACAACGCCAGCTCTCTGCCAACTCTCTTCCACAGCAACAACTCTCTGCCAACACCCAGACACAACGCCAGCTCTCTGCCAACTCTCTTCCACAGCAACAACTCTCTGCCAACACCCAGACACAACGCCAGCTCTCTGCCAACTCTCTTCCACAGCAACAACTCTCTGCCAATACTCCTCTTCAACGCCAGCTCTCTGCCAATACTCCTCTCCAACGCCGGCTCTCTGCCAATACTCCTCTCCAACGCCAGCTCTCTGCCAACACTCTTCCACAGCAACAACTCTCTGCCAACACTCCTCTTCCACAGCAACAACTCTCTGCCAACACCCCTCTTCAGCGCCAGCTATCTGCCAACACTTCGGCACAGCAACAACTCTCTGCCAACACCTTGGCACAGCAACAGCTCTCTGCCAATACTCAGCCTCAGCCTCACCCATCTGTGTCTATTCCCCTTAAGCGCGGGAGATCCAAAGTTAATGTACCAAAAGATCTTAAGGTAACTATTAGAAACCTAATTGAGCAGCATGGCCATCTTGGAATAATCTCCGCCTATAACCAAATAAATAAAGATATCGAATATGCCAAATCTCATTTTGAGGCATTTTTGGACATGAAGACGGGTATTGTTCCACAGCCAACGCCTACCCAAGCATGGTTCTCCGCTATTGAACGTTTTAAGCCCCTGAATCAAATTTCTTCCACAATTCCTTCCGGACTTATGATTGAAGAGTCTCCATTATCATTTCCATCTGAGCTGAGGAACATTAAATATCTTACAAACCCTCTTCCACATCCCCCCTCAAGACATATGGTAGAAAGAGCTTTTAGAGAGCTAGGCTTGGCACGTCCAAGGGGACCCTATCGGCCAAAAGGAAAGACAAGATACTTAGCTGCCTTTCCTAACCAAATATGGCACGTTGATATCCACTTTCTTGGCAAAAAGAGAAGTCAGATTCTTTATGCTGTGATTGATGACTGCACAAGGCTCATCATAGAATGGCAGCATCTTTCGTCAAAACATGCTAGCCAAACAGTGAAAGTAATTAAGAGAGCAATAGCCCGTTATGGACCACCACATACAATTTGGTCCGATAATGGCGGCGAGAATAAAGGCGAGTTCCTAAAGGCTATGAGGGTTCGGGGGATCAATAATGTATATATTGTCCCCCATTGCCCATACCAAAATGGGAAAATCGAGCGCTTGTGGCCTAACATAGAGAGCAGAGAGTTGTCATGGGCAAAGATTCAACAATGAGTTGAGTACTATAATGCTAAACCTCATCTAGCATTACCAACTCATTATGTGAATGGAAAACAAATTCACTATAGCCCATCTGAAATGTGGAAGAAACTTCCAATTTGGAAGAGGGGAATACCGGCAAAATGGATTGTGGATGGAGTCTCTCAAGATTTTCTTCCAGGTTCACTTATGGCCAATGAGATGCCAGAGCTCCAAGGAATCGAAGAAGATGAATGGGAAAAAGAAGGCGAGGAAGTTGAAGAAGAAGAAAATAAGGCGAATCCGGTTGAAATAGAAGAAGATAGTAATGAAGAAGAAGAATACGAAGTAAATTATGAAGAAGAATATCAAGAAGATTATGAAGACCCTTATGAAGAAGATTATGATGATTCATTTTAATATTACGAATAAAATGTCACTTTTTCTATTTTTGACACGTAAAGTTGTCATTTTTCTGTCAAACTGTTTTTATCGTTTTCGTATATAACAATAACACCTTGGTTAATTGCAATGAAAACCGCATTTGTTAAGTATTGGAATCTAATTGTGACATTATAGCCGGCGAATCCATCATCAAATTGATCCTTGGGGAGAGATAAGCCAAGAAGCTTACGAACGACAATAGTCGGAACAAAATATGATAAGTTTGTAATAAGCTGAGAAAAGCCAACTTTGAGTGCTGGGAATGTATGAGGAGAGAATTTCTTAAATAAATCACCTAACTGGGGCTTAACGGCAAATGCGCCTTTATAATACCACCCAAGAAGCATAAATGCAGGGAATAATTCGGAAAGAACAGTTGAAAGTGCTGCACCACGTACTCCAAGCTTGCCTAAAAGTAATAAAGCGGGATCAAATAATAAACCATTCAAAACAAATGATACAAGCTCCATGATTGCGAATATATGTGTCCTACCTTCGCCCTGAAAGAAGCCACCACAACATAAGAATAAACATGTAGCAATGGATCCGTATGAAAGTAGAGAAATATACTCGAAGCCAAATTCAACAAGGCCTTCATCAGCACCAAACCATCTTGCTGCATGTTTGACTGTTGGAATAAGAATTGCTGGAACAATTAAAGAACAAATTATCGAACAGCGAATTAAATCACTAAAAACTTGTCTGGTTTCCGATTCTTTTCTCTGGCCAAATAATTGCGAAGTTTTCGTTGATGCTGCTGTGCACATAAAGAATCCAAATGAACGGCCGATGTTATCAAAGCAATTATAAGTAGAAACGGCAGCCATACCACGATCTCCGCATGCTTTTGCAACCCAGATGGTGTCAATAATTGAGTATAAGGCGCCAACAACTTGAGAAACCATTGGACCCATGGATAAAAACAAAATTGTCTTGAGCGGTGGGCGGCCTGCTAATCTGTAGTGTTCCAGTTGCAAGTCTTTATCTTGTTTTTGACCTAATAAAGGTGTAGGATTTACCATTTGTTGAATTAATTAAGGGTGGCTTCCGACCAAATTGTCACTTTTTACCCCAAGTGAGAAAATTTCGTAATTTATAACCAAGTTTTTTAAAATCTATATTTAATAAAGATTCTATTTTTCTTATTAAATTTCAAAAATGAGGGGGTTCGGAATCGTCCACAAATTGCCGAAAGGGTTTTTGCCAGTTTTGAATCCGCTTATTTTTATCGACCAAAATTATAATAAATATAATTTTCGATAAGTATTCTACCCAAATGATTCTTCAAAAAAATATTTTTTGGATTTTATTCCGTAAAAAACGTTACATAAAACACCTAGAAAATTTCGAATTTTCCCTAAAAAATTCAGTGCAGGTCGATTGAAGAGATTTTTCAAAAATAATCATATCAGTAGATAGGGTATAATATAGAGGAGCTTTATGAATAACTCAAAATCCGGGAAACTCAATATTCAACGAGAAAAACGCTTAACGAATCTCACTTTTGGTGTAAACATCACAAAAAATTGAGAGAGCTTTCTGGTCGGAAGCCTCCCTTAATCTTATCAAAAATCGTTCAGCAATTCAATAATGTATTAATGTATATATTGTTACACAACTATCCCATCGTCAATAATAGATTTTCCTGTGATCCCAAATTGAAAGGATAAATGGATTAATTTCTATGTTTTGCGGTTTCAAATTTCAATATTTAATCGTCGTTAAATTTTTTAACCCAATTTCAAAAAAATTATTATTGATTTAGCACCAGTATGTATAGGTTATATTTGCATTCTTAACAGTTAGTATACAAGTCATGGGTACGGAGGCACTGCGTTCCACTTTACCCAATACTTGTGAATTTAACACTTTACAAAACCGCTAACGTATATTTTACAACACAAACACAAACACTAACTTAACCTTAAATATTTACAAAACCGCCAACCACTTCACTTCACTAACGAACTCACTAATGTAAAAAATAAACGTTCTCACTATCGTTCTCACTAACGACTTCACTAATGTTCTCATAAATTTTCCTCAATATCTTCATCATCAGTGTTAACCCTATTGTAGTCATACTTGAAGCCATAAACTTTCTCTAACTTCTTAACGTACAATTTACATAACTTACCTTCGTCATCGTATGGTTTAATGATATAACTATTTCTATCTTTATACACAGTCAATGAAAAGTCAACTGGTCTCGGATGTATTTGAAAGAACATGTTATGCTCAGGAAGGAAGAATAAATGTTTAAATGTATGTTTGTTATACTGTGGAATTCGAATGAGTTGCTTTTGTTCTGTCATTTACATCCAAATAAAAATTTTCAGTAAAAATAAAATAAACTTAAAAATTAATGATATCACCACCCTCACACGTATGAAAACATAGCACAAAAATAAATTTAGGTGAAGAGGTGAAATCTCACCTCTTTTCTCACCTCTTTTCTCACCCTGTTGAATTCATTGCTTTATAACTCTCTTCCTTGGTTTCTTTTTAGTTGCTTTCTTCACGTCGAGATATAAAAATTGCTCACATTTGCTCACATTTTGGCACTTTTTTGTACGTTTGTCAAAAAAATTGTGAGGAAGATCTCACAAAAATAGTCAAAATGTGAGCAAATTTTGAGAAGTGCTCACATTTTGACATACGATTATTTTCATACGTTTTTTTGATGAATTCTAATAAAACTTCATTACCACTTTCAGAACGAAGCGTAACTTTTCAGCACGTAACGCTCTATCATGTGTAGTGACATATTATTCAAAAAAACTCAGATTGCTTATCTTATAATAACAATTTCATTAGAAAAAATGCACGATTTCACGCTAAAACTTTGAAGCAATTCTTAAATTCGGATAAAAAATCGATATGTATTACACTTTAAACTTCAAAAAATGGTTCAAAATTTAGACTTAGTTTATCTTAACAATATAGCAGATTTTAAGCCGAACAAGTAGGAGTAATAAAGAAATAGCTCTTGAAAATAATTACAATTAGTAATATGTAAGTCAAAGTTCGAGTATTCTAATAAATAAACGTTCCGGATTTTCTTTACTACAAGAATCAATACTTAATATATAGAAGCAACAGTAAAAACTTATTAGAGATTCAAAAAGAAAGTTGACTAAAGAGAATCTTTTTATATAAGTAATTTTATTTTTTTGAAATACGAGATCGAATAAACATGTATTTTATTTTATTTTATTACTATAATAATACGTTTTACATAGTAAGAAAGTTTAGAGACTGAAATGAAATTAAAAATTGAGAAAAAATAAAGCTTTTCTATAAAAATTCATATTAATATATAGTATAATATATTACAATTTATTGATAGTTGTGTTAGAAAAAAGGTACATTCACTATTTTTGACAAAATTTAAATTTTCATGGGGTTGTAAATCTTATAATAACTAGATGAATAAGGAATAAATCCAGTATATGTGCATCATTATATTAAACACTATATGTAAGGCTGGTGATTCTATTAACACTTATGAAGATCTATAGTATTTGAGCAGATAAATTTGATAATTTCCAAAACTCTTATATTTCAAAATTAAAGTGTGCGAATGCATTTAAATGAGAGCAAAAAGAGATTGATGCTGTTAAAACTATGTGTTAATTTGCAATTATTTCGCATCACAAGAACTACCCAGTAAATTCGGCTATCTTTCTTTGCAATTATTCTCCATTATACATATAATATAATGGTTAGGGTTTGAAGAAAAGTTACTAAAGAATTATTGACTTTTGAAATAATGCAGAATTTACTTGAAGAAATCATTAATTTATGAGTTCCAAATTGCTAAGCATGACGAAGGATCATTAAATTGCTACAATTAAATACACTTATTGCAGAATTAAGATTTTTGAAATTAAAAGTTTGAAATATTGCCTTTTTGAATAAAAATTTAAATTTTATTATATAATCAGATAATATCTTATAGAAATTAAAAGAAAATATTTTAAACCATTCAAATATTTTGAATGTCTTATCAATTTAAAATATTAAAAATAGCTTGATTTATCATCATTAGTTGTTATCAAAGTTTTCTTCTTTTGATGAACAACAGTAAATGATTTGTTAATTACTTGTCTCCTTTTTCGCAGGAAAATCGAAAGTTATGATGATAATCTTGCTCTCAATTTTGAAACTCTCTGATTTACAAGTAAGCATTCCTTTGGAAAAGCAGTCCTATTCTGTTTCAAGATATTTTAAAGCCTCAATTTCATACAATGCGCAGATCTATTCGAAATTGCAAGAACTCTCAAGAAAAATGCAGCAGCAAGAGAAGATTCCATAGTTTCTAGCATCAAAAATTTACAACCTTAATACAACAGTTAAAGAGAAGCTCGAAAAGAAATATTAACCATAAAGCTGGAAACCATTCGATATCTACTATTGGATCTAATAAAAAGTTAATTATAACATATTTAACATGCTATTTGTTGACTTTGTTCCATTATATTACCATATATATCTTTTGAAATCTAAAATATTTTTACAATTTTAACCATGTATTGTTGAAACCATATATATCTTAGCTAAAGTATAGTTTATGAGTCTGTCACCATCTAACGTATGAATTTTCAAAAATGTCAAATATTTCATTTTCTGTAGATTCAGCCATAATTTCACGTTGTTATACTATTCAACTATTATTTAATATTTTTATCGATTAAATATATGATGAGATGCTAGTTCTCCTGAAAATCGATTTTTAATCGCAATTTTAACTTTCCAAAAAAATTCAAAAATAAAAATCCCTCTCAATTTTCTAAGTTTATAACTCGCCAAATCTCTAGCAAATTTTTTTGGCCCGTATAAATATTGTTTGGCACTATATAGGATGCTATTTATCATATTTTCATCCCATTTTACTGTTATCGCCTAGTGAATGTACCTTTGTTAGAAAAAATATACAACTAAAATGTCAGTTTTAAAAAATTTAAAAATTATATTAAAACAATAGTCATTGAGGATGGTTAATTGCAAAAACTCAAGAAACTATCATTATCTCTCTTTGCTTAACACATCTACAACTGGAAACATCATTCCAAATGTTGCATTCAAGAATCCTATTATTATTCTTTCTTTCAATCTTTTATATTTACTCTTTAAATTCTAATATAATATAAATTCTTCATTTCCTTTGTTTAAACTTTTTTCATTTTAATACCATTTTATCAGATAGTAATTTTTGTTTTTCTCTGACCAAAAATCTTCTCAATTTAACTCCACCTTCACAAAAATTCATTGAGTTCTCTCAAAATTCTTGTATTTTTGGTATACTTAAAGTATCATCTTCAAATATTTTTTGGAGAAAATTGACTTTGCATAATATCGTAATACTTTTTAAGGCAGATAGATTTACCGTAAGTTGAAGAACTTTTAATTTGAACAGAAATTATTCAACAAATATTCTTTTTATTTGATCAAGATACGTATACCAATATGATCTACTTGCTAGGGATATGTAGATCACGTTCAGAATTTGCCAAGTTTGGTGAATATCTATGGGATTAGGGACATCTATTTAATTTAAGAACTAAAAATTAGCATAGGCGTATTATGCTGTTACTGAAATATATTTTGGATGTATAAATTTTTACTTAATACTCTTTTATTGTTATCTTTTTTAAAGATTTTTTATTATGAGCAAAAAATGGCAAGACAATAATATATTGTACATGCAATTTATTATTACTGAATAAATTTATCAATCAAATTTGATCACATACAATTTTTACAGATAAATACATTATCTCAAAAAATATCTATATATTAGTATATGTTACACGAAATGTAATAAAATGTATTACTTTGGTTTATCAATTTATAAATAAGAATGAAAATTTGGAGAAAGGGACAGACTAGCCCATTGTCACTTTTTAATTTCGCAAATGAACGCTTATGGAGTGGAGTTTTTGGGTAAATCTGATTTGCTTATAAATGAAATAAAATCAAAAGAAACCATATTGGCATTATATTATGCAAAAATAAATGATCTTACTTAGTACTTTTAAAGTTAATTTCAGAAAAAATTTGACACAATGGTATCCGGCACATACAAGTGGTGTACAACCAAAATATAAGTTGGTTTAAACATATATTGCTATATCTCATGATCTTACTTAGTACTTTTAAAGTTAATTTCAGAAAAAATTTGACACAATGGTATCCGGCACATACAAGTGGTGTACAACCAAAATATAAGTTGGTTTAAACATATATTGCTATATCTCATGATCTTACTTAGTACTTTTAAAGTTAATTTCAGAAAAAATTTGACACAATGGTATCCGGCACATACAAGTGGTGTACAACCAAAATATAAGTTGGTTTAAACATATATTGCTATATCTCATGATCTTACTTAGTACTTTTAAAGTTAATTTCAGAAAAAATTTGACACAATGGTATCCGGCACATACAAGTGGTGTACAACCAAATCTTCGACTCGATGAACTTGTCATCGAGTTATATTCCAGTGTTGTTCCTTCATTCCTGATTAAGTTGCAAATTAAAGGTCTGGATTCAGAGAGAAGTGTTAAAGTTATCAAAAAAGTCACAAGAGATTTCGAAGAAATGACACAATTTAAAAAAGTCGAATGCATCAGTATGCTTGAAGCTGTTCAGAAAGGTCTGAAAAATGATACACTTGATCCCAACATTGTTTACTCAACATTAAAAATATTATTGCAAAGAAAACATTTGATTTAATAAACATTTAATTTATTATAATTAATTTTTTATTACAGTATAGTAAAAAATGCTATAAATAAATTATTATATTTTATTAAAATGTGACTTTTAATAGTAAGTGAATAAAATAAATCAGGAATTGAGAAAGAAATAAGGTTAATTAAAATAATGAAAATTACAAGTTTAAGGTTAATGAAAAAGTGACAATGGGCGAGTTTGTCCCCCACTCCGAGTATCGCAGCTTTATTTAATAGCATATAAAATGATGTGTTATATGTTTATTTGATACACATATTTTTGATCACAAATATCATACCAAATAATATGCAATTTTATAACAAATGTATTCCAATTTTCACAAATATGAGCTAAGTCTGTAAAATAGATCGATGAAAAGAGTATAAAACATAATTTTAGTCTATTTATTTTCATATTACAAGTTTCAAAACGCAAAGTTAAAATTGTAGTAGACACATGATATCTTTGAACTTGTTTGTACTAGGTGCATGATAATGTAAGCTTCAATTTTATACCAATATTGTAATTTGAATGATTTTTTTATTGAATGTATTGATATACTATTCATTTTATGATATGAAACTGCTATACTACTTGCACTGAATTATATTATTGTGACATTTAAGAGATTTATTTTGATAATTCTGGATGATTAAATAACTCAAGATTGTACATGCCGATTTTCTCCAAACTCAGAATTCTACATGTACATATTATGTATAGCCTGAAGCTGGAGTTTAAGGCCAAAATTTTGGTTAGAAGCGAGTGTCCGTACTTTTTCTTTTTTTTTCGATAAAAAAGAAGAAATTCAAAAGAGACTGTTGCCGAAAATATAGTTGGGATTTGAAATTCAAATCAATTTGTCACCTTTATGCAAGAAAAAAAAATCCGAATGAGTTTTTCGCAAGATACCTCAATAATACAAGATAAAAGTCAATTGCAGCAAATCCTTGTTGAAACTCGGCAGACCCTTAGTGAAATTAGACAGCATGAACTTTTATTAAAAGATGAATTGGAATCCACAAAAACAAAACTCCGAATGACAGAAAGTCAATTACAAAATGCCCCACGATGGATGAGCGCAGATATTGAATCATCAAAAATACAGTTTTTAAAAGCAAGAAATAAAGTTGAGATCGAAGCATTGCAAACCAAGTTACTTGAAAAAGATAAAGAAATTGAAAAGCTAAAAAAGGAACTAATCCCAAGGTCATTTCCTTCTTTATTTATCCAAACAGCAATTAATTCTATAGAATTCTTTTCTCAAAATCAATACATATTGAAATACGCAAAAACAAATTCTCAGTTCTCAATTCTACTTCAAAAATTCCAGAATTTTTCATCGTCAAATTATTCAATAGATACGTTACTTCATGAAATTCAGAATCTAATTGAGTTACTTATTACTACATCAAATGAGACTTTCGAAAGTTTTGAGCATGAAGTTATATTCGCAAATGAATCAACTCATGTTAATCAAATTAATCAAACAAATCAAATTAAGCAGCTTGAAACCGAACTTTCAGAAATGATGGCCAAAAATATGAAATTACAAAATGAAATGTCAAATATCAGAAACGATTATTTATTCTTAACAAACAGATTACTTGGTTATAGCTCATCTCAAGCTGATTATAAAAAGATAAATTCTTCTGTTGACAAATTATTACGATTTAAAGATGAAAATGATAAAATAAAACAAAGTATTGCTTTATTGCAAAAGCAGATTTTAGATTCCAGCCAAGAAATATCAATTAATATAATTTTTGAACGGATTTTGGATAAGTTTAAAGAATATCAAAATGGCTACCGAAGGATATCTAAAGCATTTAATCTTCATGATTCAAATACTAATGATTTAATAAATAAAATTCTCGAAAAGCACACGTCATTACAATTAGAGACATCAGAACTCTCGAAGACTTACGACAAATTAGCAAAATCTGCAAACTCAATGAGAGATCAAATTAAATTGTTACAAAACCAATTAAAAAATCGTGAAAAAGAAAGCATTATAGTACAATCAGAAGTTGAAAAGCAAATTACAACCAAGCAGATGAAAATCGATACCCTCGAAAACAAATTATCCGATCTCCTTCAAAAATCAAACGAAATCAGAATAAATTTTGAACAAAGTCTCAGAGAAATTGAAGATTCGAACAAATATGCAATTACAAGTCGAAAGGAAATCCTTGATCTCACAGAAGAAAACAAAAACCTCAAACATCAAATAGAATTAATGGAAACAAGGTTGAAATCCTATTCAACACAAAGTGATAAAATTTCATCTTACGAAAAGCAAATATCTGGATTGCAGCAAACAATAAATTCACTAACAAACCAAATTGAAATCCTTCAAAATACTAAAATTGAAAACAATTACAATGTTGAATTAAATTTGAAACGTGAAAACGAAGAACAAAAGGATAAAATTGCAAAAAATCAAAAGATTATTTCAGATATGAAGATCAAAATTCAAGACCTTAACATCAAAATTGGTCAATATGATAAAAATATCTCTGATTTGAAACAGAAATTATCAGAGCAAAAGAATGATTTTGAAAAATTACAAAGAGAAACTATTCACAAGTATCAAAATCTTATTATAGAATCCCAAAATAAAGAAAGTCAGAAGTACAAAATTGAACTTGAAGCAGCTGCAGATGAAATGAAAGAATCTCAATCAATAATGAGGAAATTCGCAGAAAAGGTTGAAAAACAAAATAGAAAAATCAAGAATTTAAATCAAGTAATTGATCAAATGAAGAATGAATCATTCAATGAATCAAAAATAAATGGTGTCCTGAAGGAGAAAATAGAACAGCTCAATAAAGAAAAAAGAGAAGATATTCAAAATATTACCACATTGAAGCTTCAAAATTCCGAATTAAAGAAAAAACTAGAACTAAATGAAAGAAATGACACAAGTAAAGCAAATGAATTCATCTTAAAAGTAAAGTCACTAGAACTTGAACTTGAATCGATTAAAAATGAAAATAATTCCTACAAAATGACAATTGAGAACTACAAACCTAAATTAAATGATTATGAAATCAAAAGTTTACATCAAAAAGTTATGGCACTCGAAACAGAGTTATCATTAGAAAGAAAGAAATTTACTTCACTTCAGACCCAGTTCTCATCTCTATGCAAGGAAAATGAGAAAAATATTTTAATGATCAATGATTTAAAGAAAAAAATATCTAATTTCCAACAAGAAAGCAGCAGACTTTCTTTGTTTGAGCAAAACATGAATGAAAAAGTTGAATCAATGCAGAAGAAATTAGAACTTGCAGAAGGCAACTTGTCCACTAGCGAAAAGGCCTTGGCAACACTCTCAGAGCTGGTTAAAACTGCAAAAATCGAATTAATTCGCTACAATAAATCTGAAATTGATGCAGAAAATTCTTTATCTAATCTTTTTGGAATTTTCGGAATTACCAATCAAAGAATTAAATCCTTGATTGTAAATAAACCAAATACAATTAATAAGAAACCGGTCAGAACCAGCCATGGAATAGCTGGGAACGCGTCTGATTTATTTGTCCGTCTAAATACCCTTTGCAACCAAGTGGAAAATGAAACTGAAAATATGAGTATAATTTTACAAAATTCAACTATTCAATAAAATGATTTATTTAGAGCTTATGATCATTTCATGTATAAGTAATTTTTTTTGTTTTGAACCAAAGAGATAAATTTTTTAATGATAATATATATTGAATTTTGTTTTTTGAGATTTAATTAGAAACAAAAACGAAAATTGAATACAAAACATTCAAAATTTAACATTAACAGCGATAAATAAATAAATAAATAAAAATATAATAATAAAATCAGCAACATGATGACTTTTCTGCATGAACAAGTACATCTGTTGGCTCATTAACGTCCTTACTAATAATTTTTGTCAAGCATTTCTTGCCGATAAGATTCATTAAATCGTTGATTTTATCTGGCTGATCTTTTGCACTCAACTCAATGAAATCAAATCCATGCTCAACTGCAAAGTTCAGACCAGTTTCTGTCGTAACCATTCTTTGTGATTCTAAATCTGATTTATTTGCAACTACAACAATCGTTGGCTGGGTTACACACTCTGTCGTAATACTATTGCACCATGAAGCAAGGCTTTTAAAAGATTGGAGATTATCAACTGAATAAATTAGTACAATAAAATCTGTTTCTCGATAAAACATTGGAGTGAGTGATCGAAATCTTTCTTGTCCTGCGGTATCCCACATATTGAGCTTTATAAAGTAATCACCCATGTTTAAATTTTTAACAAGGAATGATGCCCCAACAGTGGGTACGGAATCAGGTGTGAAATAACCTGTATGCGCTTCTGAGACTATTGTTGTTTTCCCTACAGTTGAATCACCAAGAAACACGACTTTGAAACTAAATATTTTGTCTGTTGCTTGTTGATTTACCATTTGCGTTATCAAATACTAGATTTTGTAAATTAATCAAATTCATCTGAAACTCGGTAGACTCACAAATTGTAAAAAAATTGAATGGTAAAAAGATAAAGAAAATGATCTTTTTATTACTTTTCTTTTTGTTGAAAGTTTGAAAAAAAAATATTCTCAATTTTCAATATGTGAAATCTTGAGTTTAAATCAATAGTATATTACAAATATGAGTAATAAGATTAATCAACTGATTCTGGATTCAAATTGAATTAAAAATGGTCAAGACTTTTTATGAAAGTTTTGAATGTTAAATTTAATTCGTTTTTTTTTAATTATTCAAAAATGTAAACTTTTCAAATTTGAACAATTAACTATATTTTTTTATTGTGTAACGTTTATACATAATACCATTAATACTTCTTGCGTTAAATATTTATTTTTATTTATATATTCATTAAGGGTGCACCCGTATGTACGTTTATTTGAGAGGAGGAGGATTACCCTCTCAATTTTGAGGGATTCGTTAGTTTATTTTCTCGATGAATATGCAATAAAATTTGATTTTTACCTTATCAATATACTTCATATAATATACACATGTTCATGTAAAAACTTTTTTCCAAAATCTTCAGGAATTAAGGGATTTTTGAATTTTAAGAATTTTTTTTCGAATTTTTTCGAAAAAAAATATTTTCAGAACAGCCTTAACGGCTAAGATTTAGGAACAATGCTAAGTATCAAAAAGAAAGGAGGTCTGATATAGACAACATATATCGTTGAAGGTTGAAAAAATCTCTAATATTTGAGCCCAAAATTTAGGGCTGTACAAAATCGAGAAAAACATTGCCGTGCGGTAATATAGGGTCAAAAAAATCGCGCCTCGGCGGCTCCGCCGCCTCGGCACTATTAAGTGCGCATTATATTTAATATGTCCTTCTTTTTTTCTTTTTTCTTCTTCTTCTTTTCCTTTCCTTCTTTCTCTCCTTCCTCTTCTTTCCTTCTCCTTCTCTTTTTACAACAACGTCGAAGATCTTCGAATTTGATTGTTGGAAAAGCATCTATTTCAGATAAAGGATGCCTTTCTCACAGTCAACATACGAGGGTCCTGGCTGAAACGTTCTCAAAAAGCCTGAGATGGTAATTCTCTGATCACTCATAGCTGGGCAGGTAGTCATTGCTGACAATACCTGTCTTTATGCATGCACGCTTTCATATATATGGGTTTACACTATCAATTCGCAAAGTTGTTCCGAATTCTTCCAAAATGGAAGGACCCGAAACAACTTTGCTTGTTAACGATACAGACGCATTACTTTGCATTGATACTGTGCTGAGTTGTGTAGAAAGTTTGATTAGAGTTGTTTTGTTCTGGTATCTCTCATCTTCTGATGAGAGAAATCAAAGCAACACAACTCTAATGAGTTTGTTTTCACTCATTTGTATGTAGGTTTTTAGTTCGATTGGAGCTGCTTCATAATGAGATCTCTCATCAATTGATGAGGGAGATCATAACAAAGCAGCTCTAATGTATATGCTCGTATTAACCTGGTTGTAATGCGTTGTAACGTCAGCTTGTAGTTCGTTTGGGGCCACTTCACATTGAAATGAGAAGAAATGATTAAAGGACTCTGAAAGGCTTTGGCCGTTGATGTTGTAATCACATTACTTGGAACTAGCTGGATGCTAAGATGTGTAGAATGTTCGATTAGAGCTGTTTTGATATGATTTTTCTCATCATAAGATTGGAGGAATCATAGCAAAACAACGCTAATGGGTTTACCATCATCTACTTGTATGTAGATGTTTGGGAAATTGTCTTGTTAATCGATTTTCGAGATGACTTTCAAATGCGATAATCAAATGACAAACAAGTCTAAGATTTCTCGACAATACATCAAATCATGATGTTTGTAAGTGCGATGAGATTAGAATTTTTGAAGGAATGACAAGAGAAGTAGGGAAGCTCGGCATTCGCCGAGCAAATTAAAAATTAACGTATGGATTAAATTTTAAGAGGAATTCAATTTTAATTACGGGTTGTTCAAATATTGATTAATATAAATTTATTAATAAGAATAAACAATTTTTGTTTTTGAATTTATTCAATTTATAGCTTTACATATAGTTTCAAAATTGTACAACTATGATTATTTCAACAAAAAATATCTTACTTTTTCACTTCACTTTCACCCTCACTTTTTCCGTAATTCAAATTTCAACATTATGTATTTTAATTCCTTATAGTATTTTTAACATAATTAATCAAATAATAATTGGAAGTTCTGAACTACTTTTTTTCGTAATTCAAAATCAAAAATATGAATAATATAGTTAGTATACAAGTCTTGGGTATGGTGGCACTGCGTTCCACTTTACCCAATACTTGTGAATTTAACACTTTACAAAACCGCTAACGTATATTTTACAACACAAACACAAACACTAACTTAACCTTAAATATTTACAAAGCCGCCAACCACTTCACTTCACTAACGAACTCACTAATGTAAAAAATAAACGTTCTCACTATCGTTCTCACTAACGACTTCACTAATGTTCTCATAAATTTTCCTCAATATCTTCATCATCAGTGTTAACCCTATTGTAGTCATACTTGAAGCCATAAACTTTCTCTAACTTCTTAACGTACAATTTACATAACTTACCTTCGTCATCGTATGGTTTAATGATATAACTATTTCTATCTTTATACACAGTCAATGAAAAGTCAACTGGTCTCGGATGTATTTGAAAGAACATGTTATGCTCAGGAAGGAAGAATAAATGTTTAAATGTATGTTTGTTATACTGTGGAATTCGAATGAGTTGCTTTTGTTCTTTCAAATACATCCAAATAAAAATTTTCAGTAAAATAAAAAATAAACTTAAAAATAAATGATATCACCACCCTCACACGTATGAAAACATAGCACAAAAATAAATTTAGGTGAAGAGGTGAAATCTCACCTCTTTTTTCACCTGTTTTTTCACCCTGTTGAATTCATTGCTTTATAACTCTCTTCCTTGGTTTCTTTTTAGTTGCTTTCTTCACGTCTGTCTCCAACTTGACTGCCTTTCTTCTTCGTCCGTAATGATACCAGTTACTTCCACCAGTCAATGGGTCAAATGGTCTTTCGTAAGGGTTTCCATACATTCCATAGGGACCATACGGAAGAACTACTGGTGGAGAAGAAACATTTTCTTTAGTTCCATCGACTCTATTTAAATGCATTGTTTCACCTTTCATCTGGTCATTAAAGTCTTTTGCGTGTTTTGCAAACTCATCGTCCTTTCCTAAAGCATTTTCTGACTCAGTCGCAACCAAATTGGATGCTTTATTTATGAGCCCTATTTTATTTAATCTTAACTTCTTTGCAACCCAGCCTCCAATCTTTCCTTTATTTGCATCTAATGTCTTTGAAACTCTTCCTCCACTCATTTTATTTACTGCGTCATAAGCTCCAAGTGCTTTTGCTCCAAATGCTAATGCTTTTGTTCCCATTGCGCCTAAAGCTGCCCAAGCTACCATTTACACCATATTAAAATCATCTCTCTTCAATATTATCTCATAAAAGTTCTCGTTACTGGAGAAAGTCAATGAAACATAAGCGTTCTCACGGGCTTCGCCCTCACCGCTTTGCGGTCTATCTAACTTATTTCTTATATCATCTATACGCTTCAAAATGTCTGAACAATTGCTAACATCTTCTACAACAGTTATTTCATCATGAATGACTTTCATGAACAAGCTCATTTAATATGCAATTAAAATCATCTCAATAATGAGTCCATCCTTTCCATCTTTAGGTAGCACAACATCTTTCATTGAAGAAGGTTCGACAAGTCTTATGTTAAACTTACTGACAAAGTTTGTTATACTATAATGCTTCGGTGGCGAATACATGTAGTTTGAAAGACATAATATAGATTCTTCAGCAAATTCACTTATACTGGATTTTATAACAATGTTCTCACGAGACCAAACGCCACCAATTGACAATCTTGTAAGCAATCCTGCTGAGCCTTCAACTGTAAACGTCGATGTAACATTCCACGAAGGTCATCTATTGACATCTTTGAGTCACTGAATTTAAATATTTTCTTAAAGCAATCGTCATTATCTAACCATGCAATAGCTTTGAAGTTTTCATTCGAATATACATCTGCTTCATTAATGTAAATCCTGACTTCTTTGCAGAGACGACTTTAAAAATCTATTGAGTTTGTTTCAAAATTATATGCTATGGTAACTTCTGAAGGTAATGGATGCCCTTCCGCAGTCAGTTGTTCTCTCACTACCGTTTGAAGCTTTGTATTAAAAACTTTCATGTCATCTCCTGTGTCTAGGTTCACATACACAGCAACAGGGAAACTATCTTGCTTCTTTGTTTCATCATTATATCTCAAAACATTAAAGTTCTTCAATAATATTGTTCTTCCTGCTGGAATACTTCGAACCTGTCTGATTTCAATAGCTTTCTCACCTCCTACATACTCTACCCAGTGTCTTGGATATTCATAAGTATACTGACTTTCTTGAATTTTGGTTGGTTTCATCATAACATGTTCATAGTATATCTTTATACTCTTGTCAGTTAGACTCGGTGCTATGTTCTGAATATTTCTGACTTGCATTTTTAATGGAGATAAAATGAAGCATTTAATACATGATGTAGATGAAGACATGAATGAAACTACAGACAAACTTAACTCTTCTCTCATTCTTCCTTTCAGTAAGGACTATGAGTTCTGTTCAAATGGTGTTTATTTCTATTGTGGAAAGATGGGTTCAGGTAAGACATTTAACCTCATTCGTCATATACTCATAACAGAGCGTTTAGGAAACGACTCTTACTATGACCAAATCATTATATCAGCAACTTCAGACTCTATGGATTCAACAGCGAAAACATTTATGTCAAAAGTTCAAGCCTCTGTCGTTAAAGTTCCAGACAGTGAACTCATTGAATTTCTTCAACGTTACATTCGACGTAAGAGGAAATATTATGCCATCGTTGAATTTATACAGTCAGGAATGCAAAAGGCTTCAGAAGAGATGGAAAGAATTATTGACAAACACCACTTACGTCAGTACTCAGGAGTTTACGATATGAAACGACTGACAAACTACATTCTGTCAAAACTTTCAAAATACCCCTTCAAAAAGTATCCTTCAAATACTCTGCTCGTTTGTGACGACTTCGCCGGAAAAGGTTTAGTGTCAAAGCCTGACTCACCATTAGCTAACATCATAACTAAAGTCAGACATTACCATTTAACTGTAGCAATACTTATGCAAACATGGCGTTTCCTTGCTTTAAACATAAAACGTCTCATAACTGACTTCGTTATCTTTCAAGGTTTCTCACGCTATGATATTGAACTCATTTGGAAACAGTCAGGTATAACATTACCTTTTGAAGAAATTTGGGAAGCATATAAGTCTCTCATCTCTCCTCGTTCATACCTTGAGATTCATATCATGACTAATACCATTAAAGTCAAAAATATTCCATGGGAACGACCAACATTGTTTTAAAGTTTAACCTTCAATTGACTGATGGTAAAACAAATTCCATGCATCTCTGTCGCCATTTCTGTTAATATTTTTGCTGTCATTCATATCATCCACTTCCCCATCCGTTAGCTTTTGAGGATATGGGTTAGAATAGCTGTTCTTAAATGAAGGCTTTTCACCTTTGAGAGCATAAACTCTATAACTTTCTGCATACTTTATGTTTGAACCTCCTGAGCCATCATTGACATAAATTTTTATAGGCTTCCACCCTTTGTTCATGTTCCTGCTTCTTCCCTTTGCCTTTTGTTCAGTAGTTCTACATCTTTATACACAGCACCTGTCTCAGTGAATTCAACAATATTTTCATTCGTTAGCTTTACATTCAAACCCTTGTTGTCGAGTATATTGTTCATTTCATACATATAAAAGGTTTTTATTCTATATGAAATGAGAAGCAAATCCATCTTAGCTGGTGCCGTTAATGTTCCAATTGAACCAACATCAAATGTTGACTCACGAACGACAAACAATATTGTCATAAAGAACTATAGTTCGGAGTGTTTGAAAGAAAAAGAACCAGATCTTAAGTCGGTGAATTTAAACACAGCTTCAAACGCTAACGCTACATCAGATGTTAAGTTAGAGTATCCACCACTGGACCAAATTCTTTCAAGAGACGCCAACGACAACCCTTACACAAATGTTCAAACAAATCCTTCAGATAACGTAGACCATTACCTTCTTCAGTTATACCAAACAATTTTACTCAAAGACGATAAGAAGCTTTTGACAAATCTTATAAGTAAGAACCAAATAATTCTAACAAAGAGGACCTTGAAAATGTTATCTCACGAATAACAGGAAAGCAATGTGTCATTGACTATCTCGACCTGAAATCGAATGCTGTGGTCAAACGCCAATATTCATGAAAATAGGTAACATCCGCATCATTGAAACACCAGGAACTACAGGAGTTGAGTTTAAGTATAAATATTCGAACGAATATACAAAACTATCTACTTACTATAAGCTTTGTTTGAAATATGTTTTAGTAAATTAAAGCAACTTATAGTATCTATCCAAAACTTCTTCAACAGTATCGAACTCATCTTCATAATGCAAACCTAATCTTATTGACTTGGTGCAGTTTTCACTAACACAATATTTTTCTGTTCTCTTGACTGACATAACTAATTCATTTGTTTCATCAAACAGCAACAACCAAAGTTCATGACCTAATACATAACATTCATACTTTATATTTTTAGCTCTGAGTTCTCTTGTAAGCTGTTGCATTTAATATTTTCTAAAAAGTCAACTTCAACAGTCATTCGCACTGGTGCCTTCAGTTCTACAGGCTCTCCTTGAAAGTCAACAAGTCTGAATTGCATGTCTTTCAAATTATGAGGACTAATGCGAACCCATTTACCTAAATGAGTTACTATGACAGGAACGTTTGGAATGAACATTGAATTTACTTCATAACAGAAAGACTTATATTCTACTGAACCTTTACTATTAACTCCTGAAATACCTGTGACATTAGCTATTTTTGACTCAACGTACAAACAATTGCCATAACATACGTATGGAACAGATTTCATCTCAATCGTTTTGTCAACACTTTTCAAAGGAAATGTCATATGGTATGCTCCCAAAAGAAGTTGTACTCTATGACTCATTCTTGGTATCTTAAACTCTTTCGCATAACTGAACTTCAAAACTCCTGCAATAAGTTTAACATTCATTAAGTTTTCTCCGTTATCCTTGTTTATTGTAGTACTTATGAGAGCATTTAACACTCCAGCTAATGTTTCCATCTTATATTCTACATTATTGTGAAATCTTATTTCGTGCTTCTTTCCATCTATTTCAATCTCCATGAAATCTGTTTCGTCAGTTATAACGAATGAAGCAATAGTATTAAAGTCAACCATTCTGAATGCAAGCGCCTCATTCTGTAGACCTAAGTTTGTTTGTAGCTTTACTGTCCCGTATTCGTTTGGGTCTGTACTTTGCAAATAGAACAACATTTTATTCTCATTAAAATATGAGTATAGCTGCATATGCGTATGAAGCTGACAGAGCTAAACATTTATATTTTGGTCAATACTCTCTCACACTTACTGACAAATATATTGTTATTTCTGATGGAAATACTGAGAAATACATAACATGGAAGGACTATGAAAAGTTTGACCCCATTTTAACTCCATGCACTATGCCATTCATTGTAAATGGTGAAGTTGTCATGAAGAACGACACAACAGTATATAAGTCTGTTCAGGAAGCGTTAGAATATATGTTGAATTATAATCCCGAAAGATTTGACCCAAGCACTACGCCATGTACAATGCCCTTTATTAAGGATGGTGAAATCGTAAGGGTTCCGGATTCAACGGTTTACACAGCTGTTCAAAACAGTTTACAAAACATTTTAGCGAATATCTTTAATTCAGAAACTACAGAAATAAAATTACAGTATATAACAGATGCTAAAGAAATTAAATCAAAGACAACAACATTATTTACGTCACTTAATGATTTAATGACTTATATCATTAATATTCCTGCACCAACTATAGCATTTGATCCAAACTCGACGGTTTGCAGTGTACCTTTCATAAATGACAGTTCATTAATTACTTTAAGGGATTCGACAGTAAATGAATCATTAAAGGCGTCATTAATGAAAATCATTGATTTTAACTCATTCATGAACATATAATTCATTCATTAATGTTTCATATGCTTCTAAAGAAGGTGAGCCAAAAACTATCAATAAAGCGGTGTATGAAATAAAAGCATCAACGACGAAATTGAATTCGTTAACTTTTGACGGTGATAGTTTCGTTAATGACATAACATCGGGGAAAACAATTTTAACGAAAGAATATTTAAAATCTCATGTTAGTGAGTTCGTTGAAATTGAAAAAGAAGGTGGAATTAAGTTCGATCCACTGAATTTCATTTTCAGCTTAGCGAATGCGGGTATTAATTTTGCTGAATGGACAACTATACAGAGTGAAATAAATGCAATATGGACGTTTTTGGGGTCAAAAGCGGGAATGGGTGAGCTTGTAAATGCTGCAAGAACATTAGGTGAAACAGGAAATTTTGTAGATGGTTTTAAAAGACTTGTTTCAAATGTTTTAACAAACACAAAGAAATTATTTAGATATACCGTACATAACGGACGGATTTTCGAACAGATTGCAACAAACCCTCCGGTTATGGCTGCGTTGATGATGGTTAGAGATATAAAACCACGTAACGACGGGAACGAAGAACATGAACAACAGGATACTGGTCGGGTTATTCGAGACATTAAAAACGTGTATGATTCAATTTCAAAACATTCTATAACCCTCGATGAAGAGAATAAATTAACAGATTATATATTCGTCATTATTGCAGAATTAATGAAGAGAATAAATGAAAAAGGAATTGGTGATATCATTAATGTCAGCGATGTAATGATGAAAAGAAATTTTGACTCATTATTTACAAAACCGAAAACAGAATATAGTCTTTATGACGTAATTACCGAATTAATGAAAAAGATTAATGATAATAAGAGTTCTGGCGGAAGAGTTGAATTAGAAGTGAATGAGATAGAAGAGAAATTAGATAGTAAGGCAGATAAAAACCATGTTCATTATATAACTTCAGACGAACAGATTATAACGGACTACCATGGATATTTAACACGAAGTGATGAAGTGAAGACGGAAGATGTTAATGAAAGAAGATATAAATACATTCGTGCTAAAGGTTATGACATAAGCTGTACTGTACAGTATGACACAGGTAAAGCACCAGAAGCATTTGGTTATAACGATGAAATTTATGCTTCTAGTTTCTCTGTTAACGGTGTATTAGTTGAACCAAGATTTACTTTGAGAGTTAAGACAAAAATAACCGTTGAAGATGCTATTAAAAGTAAAGCTGACAAAGATGAACTTGACGCAACGAACAAAGTTTTGAAATCTCATAAACACAATATCTCCGATATAAATGAACTTCAAGCTACATTAGACAGTAAAGCTGACAAAAACCATACACATGAATCCTTCACTACTGTTAGAGCAGACGACATAATATTGAACTTTGACCTTGGTTCAAGTGCACCTTTAGAGAATCCAAGCACTAGTGTAAAAGACACGCTTAACAGTTTAGATAACAGTTGCAGGAACATTGAAGGTCATGCCAGAAACTTTGAAGCACATGAACTACCAGCAATGTTAGATAAGAAAGCAGACAAAAACCATACACATAACTCCTTCTCAACTGTTGCTATAGAAAGTATTGAAGGAACGGTTGGCGGAACTGGTGGGAATGCATTATATTGTAAACCTCCTAACTTTCCACAAGGTTTAACATCGAATGAAAACATAACAACGAAGAAAGAAATTAGCTGTAAAAATGTTTATGTCATGGATGATGAAAATAATGTTAAATTCACTGCTCAAGATTTATATGATAATAAAGCTGACAAGAACCATACACATAAATCCTTCACTACTGTTAGAGCAGACGACATAATATTGAACTTTGACCTTGGTTCAAGTGCACCTTTAGAAAATCCAAGTACAAGCGTAAAAGATACTCTTAACAGTTTAGATAACAGTTGCAGGAATATCGAAGATCATGCCAGAAACTTTGAAGCACATGAACTACCAACAATGTTAGATAAGAAAGCTGACAAAACAGAGCTTCAAACATTAAAGACTGAAATACTTCAAACATTATATCCTATAGGCTCTATTTATACGTCAATGAACTCAACAAATCCAGCAAATGTTTTAGGTTTTGGTACGTGGGAACAGATTGTAGATAAATTCCTCTATTGTGCGAACTCTTCAAAGCAAACAGGTGGTTCGAAGAAAATTAAAGAAGCAAACCTTCCACCGCACACTCATACAGGAACTACAAACTTTTCTGGTGACCATAGTCACTCATTAAGAGACCATCCATTATACAACTCAGAATATTATGCTGGCAATGACGTTTTATCTCCAGATTATAACCATGCAGCAAAAAAGATTTTTCGACCAACTGAACCAGGAGGAAATCATTCACACACTTTCACAACAAATTCAACAGGCTCGGGTGAAGATTATATGCCACCATTTGTGACTGTATTCGCATGGTACCGCGTTCAATGAACGCGCTTGAGCCTAGAATAAAATCTTTAACTTTACATAAATGAGCTTGAAAGAAGTATTCGAACAACATCCATGGAGGTCATTTAAGAAGTTCAATGAAGCAACAAAAAGTTGGGGATTTACTAACAGAGCTGAAGTGAAAAAGTTCTTTGACAAAAATGTTGTACATCAAACAAAAATAAACCCTTACGACTACTTTTTACCAATTTACTCCAACACTCCTGACGCATACCAATTTGACACTCTCATTCAAAGCAGAAAAGGAGGACATAAACCATTCCTCATCTTCATTAATGTTAACACTCGTAAAGCATATGCATATCCAATGAAAAATAAAGGAACTCGTGAAGTGTTAAGAGTTTTACAAAAGTTTGTAGCAGAACATAGCCCAAGTACTTTAACATCAGACCAAGACAGTGCATACCTCAGCAATGAAATCACAGAATTTCTCATTAAGCATAACATAACTCACTACACTACTGAAGACTATAACCATAACATACTCGGCATCATAAACCGCTTCATAAGGACTCTCAGAGATTTAAATCAAGAGCGAGACTTTACCGAAGAAACAATGAAACATTTTCTCGAAGTATATAATTCCTCAACACATTCTACAACAGGACATACACCAAATTCAATGACACAACAACAAGAAGAAAAGTATATACAAAAGAAACGAAGCCAAACACAAAATATCAGAAATTCAACACAATTTACTCTCATTCCTGGTACAAAAGTTCGTGTAGTTCTTGACGACAAACCGTTGACAAAGAAACGTTTAAGGTTAAGTCGAAATTATTATATCGTAGACTCTACGCAAGGTAATGGATATCTTATAAAAGCTGCTGACGACTCCATAGCATTTTACCCTCGTCATAAATTAGTTGAAAGTAGTAATGGCAAACTTGCTGAAACCATTGACGAAGCAAAGCGAGGAGTGGTTATTGAAATACTTGGCTATAACATAAACGATGACACTTATAAAGTAAGATATGAAGGAGGCGTTGAAGATGTTATACCATCTAAGAACTTGAGAGAGTCAAAGTCAACACATCTGGGACCATTAGAGCGGGAGTACTGGAAAGACAAAAATAAGCCAGAAAGAATACGAAAATTCTTCTAAACTTTTTCATTAGATGTAAATCAGACATGAATGAGAACAGTCATGATATCATTAATGGTACCATTTATTTTTGTCATAAATTTACACCAAAAATAATGTTTATGTTAGAATGTTAGAACTAACACGTTTTCTAACCTCTTTTCTAACATGGTCTAAAACTCTCGAAAATCATGAAATTTACACCAAAAATAATGTTTATGTTAGAATGTTAGATCTAACACGTTTTCTAACCTCTTTTCTAACATGGTCTAAAACTCTCGAAAATCATGAAATTTGGTCATTTCCTTATGAAAGAAAAATAACGCTAATTTTTTTCTAAGAAAAATTTTTATTTTGTATAAAAGATATGATTTCAACAATCGGCACAACAACAATTCAAACAACTACAGCACCAAACTCTTTAGTCATGAATCCTACGTCAATGTTAGTAGAGATGAAAAGCTTTATTCCTTCTTCATATACTTTTGAAACAAAAATCCAGAAGATAAAGCAAGAACTTTTAACAAGTAATTTAGACTGTAGTGCGAAAGATGAAACAAATGAACAGTATCTTTATGACATGCAGGACATTATTGACCATTTACCCAAATTGCCTGAAATCCAACAACAAAAGCTCACTATTCATGAATTCGATGAAATAGAAGTGAAACCAACTGATTCAGTAGAAATTAAGAAATTCATACGTAAAGTAAACTATGAGTTTCTAGGATATCATTGCAACCATAAAGTTATGGACAAAGATTGCGACATGGTATATAAGAACATCTCTGACATATATAAATCCGGGGAGTTTAAGACATACGACAACTTTGTTTCATTAGTTGCAGAATGTGTATGGCAGATAAGAGATAAAGATAGAAGAGGTAAGGTATGGAATGAACAGATAAAACCAACAACTTTTGAGTTAAAGAAAACCATTGACGCCTTAGTTGTTCTAGCAGGTCAAATTTCAATGTATAACGCAAAAATGAACCCACAATGTTCAAAATGTAAAGCAGCAATGAGGAAATATAACTACTCCGTCAAAGAGATAGAACGTATGAGAAACGACTATGCTGACTTAAAGAAAGAAGTAGAGAAACCAGCAGAAGATAAAATGGACATGTTAGCATTTCTGAACAAAAACTATCCAACAGCAGAAGATTTCCTTCTGTCTGATGTCAAGAAGAAATATAAAGAAACCTTCGGCATAGTTAAAATTTTTGATATCCTTCGTGAAGAAATAGAAGCCACAAAACTGTTTAAAGTCATGAACCATCGCAACATATACCATGTGAAACGCTTGTAAATAGTTATGTTAGAAAAGTGGTTAGAAAACGTGTTAGATCTAACATGCTAACATAAACATTATTTTTGTCTGAAAAATGACCAAATTTCATGAATTTCATTAGTTGCAAAAATAAAGTTAGTTTTTATAAAATATTTTTTTATCTTGTATGTAAAGACAGAAATGACAAACATTGAGTTTGAAACAGTTAGAAAGATTGACAATGACACCAAAGTGGTTAGAATTGGTGATTTAAACGTAAGATACTGTAAGAAATACAACAAATATTCTTTGTCAGACATTATAACACCTTCTGGAAAGAAAACAAAGGACTGGGTTAGAATTGCTTCTACTCAGAAAATTTTGACAAGAAATCCTGAGCTCATGATATCGGTAAGATTCTATGGAACTACAGCATATCTCATCGACAAAAGTCTTATACCAATAGTTTTGTTATGGATTGACCCAGTTGTTGGATATAACTTCATAACTTATGGTTCATTCGACTCAGAACGTTGCAGTGAAGGCTTACTTTATATCGTTCAGAAACCGAAGGACTTCAATACAAAGAGATATAAGATAGGAAGGACATATAATATAACTCAAAGATATGACAGTACAGTCAATAGAGTCAAGGTTGTGTTCGTTAATGATATGAGAGCTGCAGAAACAGAACTACTTGAAAAGTTTGAGAAAATGTATGGTGCTCCCACGAAAGGTAAAGAAACGTTTGAAGTAGATGAGATAGATAAAGCTATAAAATTATTTGACGAAGTTGCTGAAAAATACATGTAAAGCGTTTATTTTTTGTCTTTTGTGAAAATTCATGAAATAAAGTTAGTTTTTTATAAAATATTTTTTTTATCCGGAATATAAAGACAGAAATGTCAACATCAGAGAACACAACAATTGCTATCGTTCATGAAGTCATAAGATTTTATAAATTGTATATATGACGTAAATTTATTTCCATCTGGCTTCCCACCGCATAAGATATTCATACGTGTTTGTAAGACATTCACAAAACTTCTTTTCTATTGCATCTAATCTTGCGTTATTTTTTTCAATAACTTGTCTGTATTCTTCATCATCTCCAGCAGTGTTTGGGTCTTCACGTTTAAAATATTCATTGTTAACCAATTTTTTATCTACAAATTTTATTAGTGTTTGATTCACTTCGTTATGATAACGGTCATATTCTTTCAATACGTAAGTGAAGACAAAATGCGTCGTACCTTCAATCTTAAAGCTTAAAGAACTTTCAACACAGTTTTGAGGGTCTGTCAGTGCGTCAATGAGATAGTATTCGAAGTCAGTCAATAATCTTTTTAAAGTCATTTCATACAGGATAAAATTTAATGTTGTGAAGAAATAGTGTTTATCTCAGAAAAAATAAAGTTAGTTTTTTATAAAATATTTTTTTTATCCGGAATATAAAGACAGTAATGTCAACATCAGAGAACACAACAACAGTTATAGTCCATGAAGCCATAAATGAAGAATACGAATACATACAATATAACAAACAGTTACGTCTCATTCGTTCAGTCAAAGACGATATGTACCAGATGCAAAGTATAATGAATGCTCTTAGTTCTACAAAGCAAGCATATCATTGGTTTGAAAACCAACAGGCAAAAGAACTTTTAGAAGAATTTCCTCATATGATTGCTTCCCTCGGAAAACCGGGGGAAGAGATTCCGTACGAAAATCGCAAGAATTTGGCTCCTGGTTTGAAAGGTTATTATGTTCATAGACTTTTAGTAAATGCTGTAGCAATGTGGGCTTCACCTCGTTATGCTTGTTATATTTTCATGATGTTAGATGAACTATATAAAGCAGAACGTGGAGAGATGGAAAAGAAACTTCAAGCAAAAGATGAAGTCATTGAATCCAAAGACAAAAGCATACAGAAAAGAATACCACGTTCAGTACCAAAAGGAAAGGAAAAGAACTATAAGTATATGATTTACGCTGAAGAGTTGGAGAAAGAAGAAGATAGAGATATGGTTATGTTGCATTTAGTGAGAAGAAACAACAAGAGTTTTTATGACTTAGCTAAGATATATAAATCTGACAGAAACTGGTTCTATCGTGAAAACTTACCGATTTCAATGACACCGAATGAGCAAATAAAGGAAATTGTCAAAATACTTTCCTCAAACACACTATGACATCAAAGGTTGCACAATACTTACATTCAAAGAAGACTTAACATTACTGAAAGAAAAGATAACAGAATATTTCGACAACTTCAAAGAGGAAGAATGAAAAAAAAATATATTTTTGCTTAAATAACTTCAGGGTCTATTTCTTCAACCATTTCACTTCCTTCGTCAATGTCAATAGAAGCTTCTTCAACCTTTGGTAAGAACTTTTGTATAACATTTTTGTTCGTTATTGTCTTCAGAGATGAAGGATAATATTTCACATTTGTTTCACCTTTCTTATATTCTTTCTGTTCGGAAAGATTTAAAGCAATACTGAAGAAGTCAATGTTAGAGTTCTTTATGACAGTATAATGAGTATCTTTGACATTCACGAAGAAACTCTTTTGTTTCAAAACTACTGCTAACTCTTGTGAAGTATAACGTTTGCGGTCAATGACAATAGCTAATGGTCTGACATACTGACCGAACTTAGATTCTTTCACAAACTTCTTGTTAAAGATAACATTAACGTTTGAAGCACCATTGAACTCATTCTTGATGGCATTAGCGAGAGCATTGTATGAAAAGAACTTGCAATCTTGCATGTGTTTCATTAAAATAAAAATATTAAATTATTTTGAAAAATAACTTAAAAAAATCTAAGCTAATTTTTTCAAAAAAATATTTTTTTATTTCCTACTAAAGATGTATCGGAAGTTGTCTAAGTTAGAACACTCGGAAATAAAACAACTTCTTACAGAAGCTAACATAGATGTTGCAAAACATTACGCGACAAACAAAAAAGCACTCGCTGACTTCATTAAAGACTATAATGGTGCATTAAGTTATGATAGAATTCATGAGTTTATAAAGCCGCAACGCGGCGAGGACGAAGTCCATGCAAGAGCATTTCCTTTAAATGACGTTGCTATTGACTTATATCATAGACGTTCAGTACCACATGAAGTAAGGCGTGAGATGTTTGACATAACAAATGCGAACGTTGGTGAAACAAGAAGAAGAGACGACACACTGAAACAACAGAGAAGAGAGATGTTTAAGAGCGCTATAGAACAAGTTCGCAAAGCTAACGATGTCATTCGTTCCATTGACGACAAACCAAAAGAAGGTGAGAGATGGTTAAAGAAAGATGAAGAGAATAGGAAGAGAAATGTGAAGTCAGGCAATAGACTCATTGACTTTAACATCGAAGCTTTAGATGAACCAAACAGAGACTACTTACACAAACATTTCGGTAAGATTTTCATGAGACTCTTAGAGAAAATTAAAATAAACTCCCAACAGAGATGGATGGTATGTTATAAACTTGGTGGAAAGTATGAATGTTCTACGTTAAACCTCAATAATATTGGAACATTATTACATCAGCTCTTGAAGGAGAACTTTATATCAGAGATAGAAGCAAATGCTGCAGGTATTGTTGAAATGCACTATGACTTCTTCTTGACAAACATAAAGAATCTTACTGAAATAAAGATGTATGATTTAACAGAATATGAAGGCTTAACGATGTCAGATGTTAAGAAAGGAAAGCCACAGAAGCGACCATATAGAGATGAAAGCACACTGACAAATGACCAGAAAGCCATTTTGGAAGCTCTTAAGCAAACAGGAAACCCAGCACTTATAGAAAGCTTTTGGAAAGATAATGGTGAAAAGAAGTTTTATAAGAAGAGAAGCGGTCAGTTCTGGAAGTATCTTTGCACATTACCTATAAATCTTGAACGCTACCAAATCTTCAATGAACTGAACAAAAGAACTGCAACACTTATGACAGAAGACAATTGTTTCGTTTATGCTTGCATTCAGGCTGGAGTAAATGAAGAAACTATTGACCACATGAGAGAAGTCATTCGTGTTAGAGACTTTCCTCAAAGTAAAGTACAAGAAATTTCTGACGCAACAGGTATAGCATTTAATGTTACCATTGGTTATTTCAATGACTCAAGACATAATGAAATAAAGAGATATATACCAAAAGAATGTGAAACTGTTAGAACTATTGACTTACTTCTTGTTGAAGACCACTACATGCTAAACGAAAGACTTCCAATGACAACATATTTCATTCGCAACTATATAGAAATCTTGAAGGAGTGTGGTGGAATGAACATTGAGAAACAGATGAAGATTTATACAAAGAGAGAAGATAAATATGTAGTTCACATGGATAGAACTACACCGCTATGGGATGCTATGAAAACATTGTGGGAGTGCAAATATTTCGAACCTATTTCTTATGGAGAACTTTTCACATATACGACTGACTTATATAAACAGAACCTTGCACCATTTAAAGATTTGACATATGCTCCAAAGTATTGTGTACAACTGAAGAAGAAAGCCGAGTCAAAAGAAGTAAATAAAAATAAATGTAAGTTCATTCCTGAGCATGTTTTCTTTGCTGACTTTGAGTGTAGTACCGATGGCTTTCATAAAGCTTTTAACATATGTTATGACAGTGAAGATGGTTCGGTGAGTGAAAGCATTTGGGGTCAGAACTGTGCAACAGAATTTTTGGAACGACTTCCTGACAAGAGTTTAATATATTTCCATAACCTCAGCTATGATATAAACTTCATCTTAAGACACATGACAGAAGTGAAAGGAACTCCCATCATTAAAGGTTCACGAACAATGCAAATAACTGGCTTATATAAAGGAAGGGCAATTATTATAAAAGACTCTTACAGTGTTATAAATAAGAAGCTTAAACTATTTCCTGCTATGTTTAACTTACAAACAGGACCGAAAGAAGTATTTCCATACAACTACTACAGCAGTACTTTGTTAGCAAATGACAACAGAACTGGTGTCATTTCTGAAGCATGTAAGTTTATCCAGGATGCAGATACATTCATGAAGAACATAGATTCCATCAAAGGTTGCAGAATAGATGAAAACCACTTCGACTTAGAAAAATATAGCACATTTTATTGCAAACAAGATGTAAGAATTTTAAGAGAAGGTTTTGTTAAGTTCCACAATGACATATTGAAAGAATTTGATTTAAACGTTTATGACTACGTTAGTATTTGTTCAATTGCTAACAAATTGTTTGAGAACAGAGTGTACTTCCCGAATGGAAATCTTTATGACCTCTCAAATAAACCAAGAGAGTTTATTTCGAGATGCATTCAAGGTGGAAGATGTATGCTGTCAGATAACATTAAACAAAAGAGCGAAAAGAAACTCATTGCTGACTTCGACGCTGTTTCATTATATCCATCAGCTATAGCAAGACTTTATACTTTAGAAGGAATTCCAAAGGTTATGAAGAAAGAAATGCTAAGCACAGAGTATCTCATGAGACATTTATTCGATGACGACCAAAAGGAACCCATTGGTGAAAAGTTTATGTCTGGCTTCTTTGTTCTCATTAAGATAACAGAGATTGGAATACATAGACACTTTCCTTTAATAGTTTGTGACCCTGAACTAAATCCAGAACTTAACGTTCCCAGAAGTTCAAACACTTGCTGTTTAATGTATGTTGACCATATAACATTACAAGACCTCATAAAATATCAAGGTGTCAAATGTGATGTGTTGCAAGGATACTATTACGATGGAAACAGAGATATTAGAATAAGAGATGAAGTAAAGAAGTTGTTTGAGTTAAGGTTAAAGTATAAGAAAGAAGGAAATCCTTTGCAAGAAAATATAAAGCTCATTCTGAACAGTATTTATGGCAAAACTATTCTATCTCCTATTGAGTCAAAAATAACCATAGTAGATGACAAAGATGCTATAAGATATGCCATCAGAAACTACAACCATATAGTGAAGTTCGAAGGTTTGGATGGTTCAGATAAAACTATTTTCAAGCTAACGAAAAGCATTTGCAGACACTTTAACTTCTGTCCACTTGGTGTTAATATTCTATCAATGTCGAAGAGAATAATGTGTGAAGTATTCTGTACTGCTGAAGACTTAGGAATGGACATCTTTTATAGCGATACGCGACAGTATGCATCTCTACAATGAAGATATCCCTCGTTTAGCTGAAGAGTTTGAGAAACGTTATGGAAGAGTTCTCATTGGTAAAAACCTTGGTCAGTTTCATAGTGACTTCGCAGAAATAACACCTGGAAAACAAAGTTTAGCATACAAGTCAATATTTTGTGGAAAGAAGACCTACATAGACTTACTCACTAACGATTTAAATGAAGTTGCATTTCACTGCAGAATGAAAGGCGTGAAGCAAGATGTTATTGCTTTAACCGCTAATGAAATGTTTCCTGACTCTGTTCAGTGTTTCTATGATGAAGATAAAGGTTTAATGGTTCCGCAAGGAAAATTTGACAAAGACTCTGAGTTCAGTGTTATGAAGTTATATAAAGCACTTCATGACGGTCAAGAGATTGGATTTGACTTATGTAAGTCTTCTAGTCCTTGCTTTGCTGAAAAGTTTAACTTCTCAATAACGACTAAAACAAGCTTTATTCGTAAGCTGAAGTTCTGAGGTCATTTATTTTTGTCAGCAATGAGGTCATGAATGAGGTCATGAATGAGGTCATATATTTTTGTCAGAAATGAGGTCATTCGTGATAAAAATAAAACTAGCGTAGATTTTACAATACTGCGATGGTAGAGTTTAAGAGTTGTGCTTCAATGTAGAGACAGTCCTTATGGTCTGGAGGTAAGAACACTGGGCAGTTATGGTCATGAGTGGAGAACATGTCTATCCAAAACTCACGATTGAAGCCAGTTAATTTATAGTATTTAGGGTTAGGAAGTGATGAAGTTCTTGTATGACCAATGAACTCATTTTCAACTCCCTTACTTAAGTTTGAATATAATATAGCTTGCTTTCTATCCCAAATGCCAGGTGTTACAATCTTTGAAAATTCATTTTTCCTCGGAAGCATTGCATCATAATTGAAAATATTCTTGAAATCATCACTTGGTTCAGAGATTTGAAATCTTATACGTAATGGATTTTCTTTCTTTTTAGCTACTTCATTGAATGGTGAGAATACAATGAATTGACAGTCCTGTGTTCCATCTTCATTTTCATTAAATTCATAATGAAAGTCTATAAGTTGTGGCTGACTATCTTCTTCTTTCAGTTGTGCAAGAAACTCACGTAAAGGCTGTAAAGTTTGTACTTCAATGTTGAACTTTTTCTCGAACATCTCATTAAATGAAATCATACATTGCAACAATGTTGTATCGTCTTTAAAGTATTTGTATATGTGAATGTTTTGGGCGCTTAAAGACTGTTCGTCATTTTCTATCTCGACTTGAAGTATAAAGTCAACCTTTCTGAAAGCACGTGTTATATACATAGATGTTATGCCAATGTACTTCTCTTCATTTATGTTCACAATCCAGTCTGTTGGAAACTTAAACGTTACTCTGTTCCCCTTTATTTTGACGTCAGGGTTTTCACTACTGAACGCAACAGATAAAGGTATTTGTCTATACATTTAATTCTGATAAAAATAAACCATTTACTCTTTCTTTGCTTCAGCTTCTTTAGCTTTTGCTTCAGCTTCTTCTCTAGCTTTTTCGCCAGCAAACGTGGGTTCTTTTGTCTTCCAGCAGCTAATGCAGCAAGTTGTTTTTCACTAAGTTTTCTCTTTGGTCTCTCTGGCTTTTGTTCTTGTTTTTGTTCCTTCAGTTCGGATAAAATTTGCTCACGAATTTCTTTCTTCAATGCTTCAACATCTATGACCCCTTGGGTCTTGTCCGTAGGGCTTGTCTGAGTCATTTGACTGCAGATAAAAAAACAAAATTAAAACTTTAACCGATGTAAAATGAGCTTGTCAAAATCAGAGCGAGAGTCTATTATATTAAATGACGCAAGAGGAATACAACATCCTTTCTATTACGTAAGTCAGAGTAAAGATGGTAAAATATACGTAAGAAAAAGAAAGGTTCCATTAGCGAATGCAGAAAGCGACAACATTAAGGTGCATGGCAAGGGCGAAGCCCATATAAAACCTTCTATTCAAACTGAAAAGTCAATAGAACCAGAAGAAAAGAAGCCAGATGTTCTTTCAATAACGAACCAAGAGCTTATTGCAAAGTTCGTGAATTTCATTGAAAAGCAAACCGAGTCAAAGAACCCTGACCCACCAGTGAAAGAAGTTGAGACAAAAGAGAATGTACAGTTCATTGAAAATGTCAAGAAACAACTTCCACCACGAATGCCAAAAAGAAGAGTGAGAATAATGAAGTAAATAGATATTTTTATCCGAAGTAAATACATGCAGAACGAACAGTTAAACGAATTTACTCCAGCAGAGCATATTCATCAGATTCGCTCATATTTCGATATCATAGACAATGCAGTTCAAATTGGTGACACTAATAGAAAATATTCTGACGCAAAGATTCCATCACAACCTGGAACTGCTAAAGATAACACATGGGTAACATTCAATCTCTCACCTCCTGGTGAAAATATGTTGGACCTTTACAATACATTCATTACGTATAAAATGGAAGGTCAATTTATTGTAGATAAAGAAATTGGTTCAGGTTCCAATAAAACAAACCCACCAGGATTTTGGATTGGTTTCGATGACGCTTTCTATGCAGTTGCTGGATATCAAATCCTTGCAAATGGTCGTATCGTATATTCTCAAGACAACGCAAGAGAAGAAGCATATATAACTTCAAACTCACAAACTACCGAACAAATAAAGAAAGTAGATGTTTTCTCAAAGACTCGACATGAAGATGTGTGGAGTCATTCGGGAACATGCAGAACAGGACAAATTGTTAGTGGTCCAATTACAGCAGGAAAATCAAATGATTTTAAGCTTCGTTTAAGAATTCCTGTTAGAAAGTTTTTACCATTAGAAGCTATAAGATTTATTCCTGCATTTGCTGGTAACATTCAGCTTAAAGTAAAGTTCAGTAGCGACGCATTACAATGCACATCTATATCTGTAAATGATATCATTGCTTTCAATCCAACTCTTAAAGTTGCATTTGCTTCAGATTCAAATCCACCGACAAATAAATTTGTTCCATGGAATGAACCATTCACTATGATAACGAAGGCAATAGAAGCTAGTGGAACAGTTACTATTACAACTGTAACCCAGCAACTATTTCGAACAAAGATGGATTTTAATGAATGTTTCATTCATCCAAAGTCATTCTCTTTAGACCCTAACATTTATACAGAACTTGTAGAACATTATACAAACGAGGCTTTATGTTTTCCTGTTAAAGTTATGGATTGGATTCCTATGGACGGTTCATTCTCAAAGAATACAGATAGTTCAAGTGCAACATTTACAGCAGCTTATACGCCTATTAATGTTAAAAGTATTTGGGCACTATTTAGAAAGAAAGACAACTATTATGTTAATTTTGAGAACCCTAAGTTTAAATATCTTCAGCTTTCCATGGGAGCTTATGGAAATATGCCTGCAGAACCTGAAAAATCATATGGACCTGTATTTTATGAAATGGTTGCGAACGCTTGCAATACAAACAATGATATGATAGGATTTAATGAAGATGTTATGAGGTCATTGGTGGATGATGGTAGTGTGGAACATAAATGGGATAGCTATGACAACACACATTTCTTATGTGGTTTTCCAACAGAAGTGGACTTTTGCTTCCAGCAAGGTCAAACATCTACTGCTCCAATAACATACAAATTGTCTGTTAAAGGACCTATTGAACTAGCAACTGAAAATGTACCAAAGCCACTTATTGGATTTATGAGGGATTGTTGCTTTGCCATTCAGGTGCGTGCTAATGGCATACCAATAATAAGATTGACGACTATAACTTAGCAACTGACGACGGTGAGGAATAAAGGATGAACGTTTATTTTTAAAGCTTATAAATGAGTTCTTCATCAAGCTCTCGTGAACCTTCACCATCTATGAAACAAACTTTACCAAACGATTATGGAGCACCTATTGAATATTTCTTACGAGCTGCACAATGGCAAAGAGCAGTCTCACCAAGGTTAGGTGTTCCACCAGCTCCTGTCAAAAATAGCATTTGGTCAAGTCCTTATATAAGATATGGTCTCCCACTAGGTTTGCTAGCTACAGCAGGAGCAGTTATGATGTTGAAAAGAAATAAAGCAAATGTTGTAAATAATACTGAAGTAGCTGAAGTTAAACAAACTCCAACACCTTCACAAGCAAAACCTTCAATGACTCCTGAACCTATGGAAGTACAAACTCCTGTTCAAAAGTCAACTCCTAAACCGACTCCAACATTTAAACCAGAACCTACTCCTCAAATAAATCGTAAAACTCATGCGTTTCCTTACTGAAAAAATAACGTTATTTTTATTTAATATTAAAATTTTTATTTGATTGAAATGACAAATAAAGTCACTGAAGCAATGAAACAAAAGTTTTTGGTAGAATACATTAAATCAGGAACTATTCCAGAAGGTTTTTACATTCATACTATGAAGGATGGTAGAGTTCAGTTTAGAAAGATAAAGCAACCATTAGATAGAGAAGGTATATTAAGGAAGATTAAACTTCATGAGGACAACATTGCTGAACTTAAGAAGAAGTTAGAAGAGTTGGAGAAAGGAAGAGAGTTATAAAGCAATGAATTCAACAGGGTGAGAAAAGAGGTGAGATCTCACCACTTCACCTAAATTTATTTTTGTGCTATGTTTTCATACGTGTGAGGGTGGTGATATCATTTATTTTTAAGTTTATTTTTTATTTTACTGAAAATTTTTATTTGGATGTATTTGAAAGAACAAAAGCAACTCATTCGAATTCCACAGTATAACAAACATACATTTAAACATTTATTCTTCCTTCCTGAGCATAACATGTTCTTTCAAATACATCCGAGACCAGTTGACTTTTCATTGACTGTGTATAAAGATAGAAATAGTTATATCATTAAACCATACGATGACGAAGGTAAGTTATGTAAATTGTACGTTAAGAAGTTAGAGAAAGTTTATGGCTTCAAGTATGACTACAATAGGGTTAACACTGATGATGAAGATATTGAGGAAAATTTATGAGAACATTAGTGAAGTCGTTAGTGAGAACGATAGTGAGAACGTTTATTTTTTACATTAGTGAGTTCGTTAGTGAAGTGAAGTGGTTGGCGGCTTTGTAAATATTTAAGGTTAAGTTAGTTTTTGCGTTCATGTTGTAAAATATACGTTAACGGTTTTGTAAAGTGTTAAATTCACAAGTATTGGGTAAAGTGGAACGCAGTGCCACCATACCCAAGACTTGTATACTAACTAATATATCTATTTATTATATACTAATGCTATTTTCAACTAGAAGTGAGGTACGGTAATCTTACGGATTCCCGTAACTCAATTTTACGGAAAAAGTGCAGTAAACTACTCAATTTACGGAAAAAGTGTCGTAAACTATTGATGTGGCGGTAAAATCACGGTAATTCACGGAAAGCTATATGCGAAAATTTGAAATTATACAAAATCGAGCGAAACACTTTTAAATAGGTTGTTCTCGTATTTAAAATACTATTCCCAGATTTATTGTCGTCAGAATATTTCCAAATTTTTGCCGATTTACAAAAAATGATTTACAAAGCATATTTTTTAATCTAAAAAATTCCTAAAAAAAAGGAACCGGTGTGCGGAAACCTCGGTAAATTACCGCGGTTCCCGTTGGGACTGCCATACCAAAATTTATGGCATTCCAAACGGGAACCGCGGTTGGTTACCATGGATTTCCGTCACCGGTCACATTTTAAAGATTTTTTAAGCCTTATAAAAATATGCTTTGTAAATCATTTTTTGTAAATCGGCAAAAATTTGGTAATTTTCTTCAACTAATAAATCTGCGAATAGCATTTATAATACAAGAACAATCTTTTAAAATGAGTTTGATTCATTTTTGTATAATTTCATATAGGCACATATATTCTTCCGGGACTTTCCGTGATTTTACCGTAAAATCATTACTTTACACCAATTTTTCCGTATTTTGAATAGTTTACTGCACTTTTTCCGTAAAATTGAGTTACGGGAATCCGCAAAATTTCCGGACCTCATTTTTCATAGAATATAATAATAATATTTGATAAAAAGATATATTATTTATATTTTTGATTTTTGAATTACGGAAAAAGTGAATTGATAACTTGATTTTTTTATATGGTTAATTTTTCAAATGATATTATGAAGATCTAAAATATTAAAAGTAAAAAATTGAATTACGGAAAAAGTGAGGTCAAAAGTGAAATAAATTTGCAGAACAATTTTCATTGAAATAAGCTTTATTTTTCATTATTAATAACAATGCAAAAAATATTTATCACGGGTTCAAAATTTAAAATTAAATATTTTAATAATTTACATCTTATTCTTTATTTTATATTTAACCCGTGAAAATATCATTTAAAAATTGAATATATTCAAAAAGCTTTATTTTTATTATGACTGCATGGGATCCTCATGTATATGATGAGTGGATTCCATTTAAGAAGACGAAATATCCACCAACTCCTGAAACATTGGAAACAAAGTGTGGAAAAAATGTTTCACTACGATCGGCTATTATGAGAATGAGCCTAATCAATCAGACAAAGGAAGGCTCTTTACATACTGTGCCGAATGTAGTGAAACATTAGTTCAAGGGCAGTTCGTGCGATGCATTAAAAAAAGCAGGAAAAATGATTTTAAAGATCATAAGTGCAAATTTTTACTCCCAATGCCCAACTACGTTCCTGCTGAGCACCAAGTTGAGAATACTCAGCAAGCAGTTGGCTCTGGTAATGATCCTTCGTTAGAAGAGATCATTGCCAGGCTTATTGCGAGCCTAGATATAAGCCTTTATGCCACAATGAAGCCAGCATTTAAAAGCTTCCTAGAGAGCTTCGCCAAATGGCTTAAAAATAAAGTCAATCGCGAACAGGGCATCAACTTTACAATCCCAGACATTGAGTTCACACGGCGCGGTGTCAGAGAGGCATTGATTACTTTAGGCAAAACAGACTCCTCTCGGGGCCTAAAGTTCTGCGAGGAATTCCGCATCTTCTCAATTTCCCTGGACTGCGGAACACACGGCAGCCGTCATGGTCTATTCTCTTGTGTGTGCAATCCAGGCAAAACAGATCGCCACCAATTCTTCGACACAACAATTTCGACTAATTGGACATACGAGGACTACCATACGTGGTTTGATTCTCTTAAGGTTAATAAAAACCACGTAGCTGGAGTAGTCGGAGATGGTTTGCCAGCCCAGGTTAAAGGACTCTGCCACTGGAGGCCAGAAGGAGCCCTTTTCCCTGGCTTACAAACCGTGTACATTCGTTGCCTTAACCACGTCTTGAACAATGCTATTGTCCACGCACGTAAGCAATGTCCATTGTTGAATGAACTGATGAATAGAGTTCACCAGATTATCATTATCTTTAAGAATCACGATATGAGAGCGAGATACAAGATCAGGGTTCCATCAATCCCGGAAACTCGCTGGCTCTACATATATGATACTCTGTTTTTCATCTTTGATAATCTGGAAACAATTAATACTGCTTTAAGAAGTGGAGATCTTCCACTATCCCTTTCCAGAGCTACACGTGAACAGTTACAATGGACACGTGATGGAATTCCTCCACTCTTTAAAGATGCTTTAATGATATTCAAGCCATTAAAGCAACTTCAATTATGGCTGGAATCCAACAAGTCCATGGGTGCTTATGCATTCCTGATGATACAACAGTGCCAAGGGATGTTGGATGAAATGGCAGGAAGATTAACGCCAGATGGTGAAGAGATTCTCCGATCAATCACTACAATATTCAAAAATGATATGAAAGAATATGGTAGAATTGATTTGCTTCGGTTTGCTTTCGGCTTTACACCGTTAGCAAGGAAGATCATCAGAGACAAGAAGGGTTTTGGAGGAAAGACAAGCTATCCACCTATAATGCAGTTGAAAGATGTGCAAGTCCCAACGATTCCTTCCCTGAGGATCATCAATCGCGAGATCACATTTGAGAAACTCGGCGAAATCCTTGAAGAAGAACGAACAGAACGTGTTGACGAGGTAGCCGAGCATGATGAAGAGATCCAGCAAGCAGAAGAGGAACAAATGCTTAACGACGATCATGCAGCCGAAACAAATGCCGATGGTTCGAGGAATTCCTTGGTCTGGGATGTTGTAGATGAAGAGATAAAAGATCTATACACATTCATGATAACAATCCTCAGACAAAGAGCAATTGCCGAATCAACAGTTGATCCAACGATCAATAAAGACGATAGAGCCAAGGAATTGAGTGATGCTTACGATTTCTTCATAGAGCAAGATGATTCCCATCTTATAAATGGTCATCATCTTGCTCAAAATGATGGCAAGTTTTGGTACATGAATGGCATAAAGCAACTAAAAGCAATAAGACCAATTGGAAAAAGGATGATGTCACTTTCGTGCAGTGAAGCAGATGTAGAACGTGTAATATCTGAATTGCGAAAGACAAGAAATTCAATGAACGAATCATGCAAAGAAGAATATGTAGCATGCCGCTTCTTCATCAAGTTGAATGATGATCAATTTGATATTTGATTTTGTTTTTTAATAAAATTTATTAAATAATTTGTTTTAAAAAGTATTATTTTTATTCGTAAAGATATTAGACAGAAGGTGGCCAGCCTAATGTCTATCAATCTTTAATATTAGTAGTAATTTCCCGCATTTCTGAATGATGATTGATTAGCTTTGTTGTTATTGATGTAAAACTGGATAAGTATTAAATAATTATATTAATCTTGGCCAGGGGACTGCTGATGGCCAGTCAGCAGCGGCCACTATGAATCATTATAATTATTTAATACCTAAATTGAGGTAAAAAGCAATAAGACTTGCCGAGCCTCATGCCCCTACCTCATATAAATAGAATCACACTTTAGTGAATCAACATCTATAAGAATGAAGTGTTTTGAAGCTGAAATAATATTGAATAGAAATTAATTTTTTCTGAAATTTTGAATGAAATTATGGGAAATAAAAAAATTACTAAATATTGTATTCATACAAATATATTATTTTAAAGGAAAAATAGATGCTGATAGAAACGATGAAAATTTTTGAAAACTTTACAATTAATTTATGTTCGTTAACCACAGAGCTTGCAATCCAAAGCTCACGTTAGACAACAAGAGTCATGAAGTCTCATACTAAGGGATATCCAACATATATTTTAATAATCTAATGTTTGTGACAAATATTCAACATAAAATTAAGTTTTCGTTTCGTTACAAGGCATTCATACTTTGGAGATATCATATTTAATGTACAGAAAAGTTAATATTAAACAATACATGCTAAAGAATTAATAAATAAGATAATAAAATAAATTTATACGTAATTACTTTCATTTAATATGCTTTATGCTGTATAATATTGATTAAGAGGCATTAAAAGGTTCCATAGTCTGCTTTTATAGGCAAGATTTTTGATAAAAATTTTAAATTTTGAAAAATGATGAGAAAAGGAAAAAAAGGTAAATGAGAGCAAGAGGAGGGAAAAAAGAAAAAGAAAAGAAAGGGAAGGGAAAAATAAAAGAAAGAAGGACATATAAAAATTTAGATGCGCATTCTTAATGCCGAGGCGGCTTGCCGCCGAGGCGCAATTTTTTTAGGCCTCTACGGTAACCCGGCAATGTTTTTTAAAATCTTGTACAGCCCTACCAAAATTTCAAATTTTAATTTTTTGAAAAAAGAGGCCACCCGTATGTACGTTTATTTGAGAGGAGGAGGAGGATTATATTTTTGAAAGGGTGAAACATTATGAATATGTTAATTATATAATAATATGTATTATTATAAAAAAGAAAAAATAAAGCACGTTAAAATTTTTCTTTCTTGATTTTTTACAAAATCTACTTAGAATTATGCAAAATATGACTAAATAATTATAAATTTCAAGTTAAATTTTCATTTTGATAAATAATTTAAATTTCAAAATATCAAGTTCAGTTCGACTATGTATGTAGTAATTCCTCAATAAAGTGCCAAAACCCTATTAAAATATATGAACATTTTCAACATTTTAATGTTTTTATTTAAAAATTTGATGGAATATGAGCTTCAAACAATTATTATGTAAATAAAAATAATTAAATATATGTATTTATTCGTATTACAACCGTAGTAAGTCGATTCTTCCTTTCTTCTACTGAGATTTGAATTTGATTTCGAATTGTAAAGAGATTCAAAGGGAAAATACTAGCGGATAAAAACTACCTCCATGAAAGGGTCATAATGGAGTCAAGTTGTATTTTTTGATATTTTTTGCTTTTCGAGCCTAAATAGGTAGCCAAGATAATGCCTAAAAATAAGGTTCTAAATTATGAAGTTTACATGATCCTCTCGTGTGCACCCTTAATATTTGCACCATGTAAGATTGTTATATACGAGAACGATAAAAACGGTTTGACAGAAAAGTGACAACTTGACGTGTCAAAAATAGAAAAAGTGACATTTTATTCGTAATATTAAAATGAATCATCATAATCTTCTTCATAAGGGTCTTCATAATCTTCTTGATATTCTTCTTCATAATTTACTTCGTATTCTTCTTCTTCATTACTATCTTCTTCTATTTCAACCGGATTCGCCTTATTTTCTTCTTCTTCAACTTCCTCGCCTTCTTTTTCCCATTCATCTTCTTCGATTCCTTGGAGCTCTGGCATCTCATTGGCCATAAGTGAACCTGGAAGAAAATCTTGAGAGACTCCATCCACAATCCATTTTGCCGGTATTCCCCTCTTCCAAATTGGAAGTTTCTTCCACATTTCAGATGGGCTATAGTGAATTTGTTTTCCATTCACATAATGAGTTGGTAATGCTAGATGAGGTTTAGCATTATAGTACTCAACCCATTGTTGAATCTTTGCCCATGACAACTCTCTGCTCTCTATGTTAGGCCACAAGCGCTCGATTTTCCCATTTTGGTATGGGCAATGGGGGACAATATATACATTATTGATCCCCCGAACCCTCATAGCCTTTAGGAACTCGCCTTTATTCTCGCCGCCATTATCGGACCAAATTGTATGTGGTGGTCCATAACGGGCTATTGCTCTCTTAATTACTTTCACTGTTTGGCTAGCATGTTTTGACGAAAGATGCTGCCATTCTATGATGAGCCTTGTGCAGTCATCAATCACAGCATAAAGAATCTGACTTCTCTTTTTGCCAAGAAAGTGGATATCAACGTGCCATATTTGGTTAGGAAAGGCAGCTAAGTATCTTGTCTTTCCTTTTGGCCGATAGGGTCCCCTTGGACGTGCCAAGCCTAGCTCTCTAAAAGCTCTTTCTACCATATGTCTTGAGGGGGGATGTGGAAGAGGGTTTGTAAGATATTTAATGTTCCTCAGCTCAGATGGAAATGATAATGGAGACTCTTCAATCATAAGTCCGGAAGGAATTGTGGAAGAAATTTGATTCAGGGGCTTAAAACGTTCAATAGCGGAGAACCATGCTTGGGTAGGCGTTGGCTGTGGAACAATACCCGTCTTCATGTCCAAAAATGCCTCAAAATGAGATTTGGCATATTCGATATCTTTATTTATTTGGTTATAGGCGGAGATTATTCCAAGATGGCCATGCTGCTCAATTAGGTTTCTAATAGTTACCTTAAGATCTTTTGGTACATTAACTTTGGATCTCCCGCGCTTAAGGGGAATAGACACAGATGGGTGAGGCTGAGGCTGAGTATTGGCAGAGAGCTGTTGCTGTGCCAAGGTGTTGGCAGAGAGTTGTTGCTGTGCCGAAGTGTTGGCAGATAGCTGGCGCTGAAGAGGGGTGTTGGCAGAGAGTTGTTGCTGTGGAAGAGAGTTGGCAGAGAGCTGGCGTTGTGGGGGAGTGTTGGCAGAGAGCTGGCGTTGAAGATGAGTATTGGCAGAGAGTTGGCGTTGAAGAGGAGTGTTGGCAGAGAGTTGTTGCTGTGCCAAGGTGTTGGTACTGCTGGCTAATGAAAGCTGGCGTTGAAGAGGAGCGTTGGCAGAGAGCTGGCGTTGTGGCGGGGTGTTGGCAGAAAGTGGGCTTTGTAGAGGAGCGTTGGCTGTTGAGAGCTGTTGCTGTGGAACAGAGTTGGTAGTGCTGGCTGATGAAAGCTGGCGTTGTAGAGGAGTGCTGGCTAATGAGGGTTCTTCCTGTATACGAGAGTCGTTTGAACTTTGTAATATCAAATAATCGGTAAGGAGAGTGTCATCTCTGTGTTTCAAAATGGATGAACACTCGTAGAGTCGATTATTATATTTAATGTAGAAAGTAGTAAACTCTTGAAGTTTGTATGTATGATGTAAGTACTCTTCAATAGTAATTAGTCTATTACATAAGAGAGCTTTGTAAAATGTTATCTTGTTAATTGATGAACGAATAGTGTTGTTGACTAATGGAACATTTGTGAGAACAATGGCTAACGGTGTGCGCCTTTGAATCTGTGCTAGAGCTGTTTCAAGCCAAGCTGAATCAACTAAGGTGTACAAATTCATTTTAAACAAATTTGAAATGAAATAATTTGTGAGAATTTGAGAATAATTTAATTATTTCAGAAGTCTATATTGAAAAATATTCTTAACAAAATTAATTTAAATGGTTCAGAAAATAAAAAATTAAAATTAATGGAAAAAACATGATTAGGAATAATTAACAATAATAAATATCATGGTTTTGGATTATTTAAACAGCTATAAAAGAACGAATTTTACAAATTACGATAAAAAATTATTGAAAAATAATGAAGAGGATAAGGATTTGAATCGAAAATTAAAAGGATGATTATGTGTCAAATTAAATTAAAATAAAAATTTTAGAAGATTTAGACAAGAAATAGTGCAAAGAATTAGAATTAACATAAAAATCGAAAATTTAATAAAGGAGAGATAAAATTATTGTAGTATTCAATTGAAAAATTTTATAAGATAAGGAATATTGGTAAACAAATAAGTTTCATCTAAAAAAGGAAAATAAAAATATAAAAATTGAAATAAAACAGAAATATAAAATATTTTTAAAATGCAAAAAAGTTTCATACTAATCGTTTTTGTATAATATTTATCAGTGAAAGATTATTGAAAGATATTTTGAAAGAAATCGAAAGAGTTAAGAAATATTGAGAAGAAGGACAATTGAATGAATTTTTGGCCGATTGTGCTATGCAAAGTTAATGATAATTGCAGGAAATTTTGAGATTTTCGAGGTTTTGGAGGGGGTGAGTACTATTATATGTAATAGTATCTCACACTCTCCAATTCATCCTATGGCGTCGAGAAAATTTTGGTGAAATGTCGTCGCATTTCACGAAAATTTCTCGGCGCCATATAGAGAACTAGAGTCTGCGAGGTACTGATTCTATCTATGTACCTCGCAGACTATAGTTTTGAGCCAAAATGGCTAAAAATTGCTCGCAATTGTTTGCCATGTAAACTGTCACTTTTTGAGGAGATTTGACATTCTGTCAAATCTCCTTTTTTCGTATATAAGAAGATAAGAAGTTCGGCTGTTTCTTTACTATTATATTCTGCTGCTTTATGAAGAGCGGTTTCTCCATTTTTATCTTTTTCATTGACATTTGCCCCATGTGAAATAAGAAGTTCAGCTGTTTCTTTACGATTATATTGTGTTGATTAGTTAATCTGGGAAGTTCAGCTTATTGTGTTGATTCCCATTTTGGTAGGGAGAATGAGAGTCTGTATGCCGCCATTGGACGCCCCAAAGATCAAGTAGATCTTGAAAGGCGCCCCTATTTTCTGAACCGTTGTCGGTCCAGAAACAATAAGGGGCGCCAAATTCAATGAAGGCGGAAGCCGCAACATTCGCTGTCGTCGCTGCCAGCATATCTGGTATTTGTATACACGCTAGGACTTTGCGGCTAAAATCGTCGATTATGCCATAAATATACTGGCCACGAACACCCCTAAAATAATGAACATCTGCGTGCCAGATAAGATTGGGGGAAAGCGCCCAATATCTTACTGCTGTTTCTGGCCCGGCATGCTCTAATCGCGTCTTGGTGAAATGATTTTCTTTGAAGTATTTGCGTACTTCTCTATAAGATACATCAATTTGTTGTAATTTCAAACGTTTCCATTGTTTTGTTTGACCACAGGGAAAGGCCCAGTGGTCATGTATCACAGCAAGAGCTTTGATTTGGTCGTAGGGATTGACCCTACGACCTTTCTTGCCTTTAGGCAATGGGATATTCTGTAAGCTAAATTGATTTTGTAAAAAAGATTTTGAAACATCTAAATATTTGAAATCATTTGATTGAAGGGTTGGGGCGATGGGAACATGGGTGCAAGCTTCTTCCCATGTCATTTTACCTTCTTCAATCTGATTGGAAATACCAATTAGGTAAATTCGATCGACATACCCTTTTTAAGGATTCATTCTAATGAAGTACGTTAACAATCAAAATATTCTATAAGTGTCTAGTATGGAATTCAAAAGAATAAAGAAAATGGTAACGTAAATAAACGTATTATGAAATAATTTATAATTAAAATGAAAAAAAAGAAAAAATAATAAGTAAAGTGACTGGAAATGAAAATTAAAATCAGTGTACTGTTTTATTTTTTTCTCGCTGTGAAACGTATTCGGTCATTTTTTTAAAATTAATTTTTTGTTAGAGATAAGAGCTAAAACTCGGTAAACAACTTCTTTATGTCTAGAAAATTCTATCTTCTCGTAAACGAAAAAGGGGATTTGACGGAGTCAAATCCCCGCTCACAAAAAGTGGACTTTACATGTCAAATTTTATATGCATGTAATGTCCACTTTTATGAGTTTTAGGAAGGAATTGGAAGCCATGAGTTACTGACATTGCATCAGTATCTCATAGCCTCCAATTCCTTCAAAAAATGGGAGAAACTTTGTCCGAATAGTTTAACATTCGGACAAAGTTTCTCCCATTTTAAGAAGGAATTGGAGGTAAGAGATATACCATATGAATGTATATCTCTTACCCTCCAATTCCTTCTAGAAAGTGTCCAAACTTTGGGTTAATAGTTTGCAAACTATTAACCCAAAGTTTGGACACTTTCAAGTGGAGATGGAAGGCTTTGGGGTATATATTAATACAATATACCTCAAAGCCTTCCATCTCCACTACAAATGGGAGAAACTTTGTCCGAATAGTTTAACATTCGGACAAAGTTTCTCCCATCTTTCAATGTAATTGCTACCTGTGAGGTACTGACTTGAAGTCAGTGCTTCACAGGTAGCAATATCCAAAAATTTAAAAACATTTTATCAGTTCGTTAAAGAACTAGAGCCTCCTAGGTACTGAACCAGAATCAGTGCCTAGGGGACTCTAGTGATCTATATAAATCTGAGAAACTTTGAGGAAATTGTTCGACATTTCCTCAAAGTTTCTCAGCAATTTAGCGAGGAATGTTCGTTATCGTGTAGATATTTATAATATATACATGATAACAAACATTCCCCGCTAAAAGATGTAAAATCTTATAAGAAATAATTGCAAAAGAATAACAAATTGCAACAAATTTTATATGAAACTGAACCTTATGAGGTAGTGATTCAAGATCACCGCCTCATAAGATTCAGTTTCAATCTCAAGTATCTCAAAAGTAAGGCTCTATTTTTTGCCATGTAAAGTGTCACTTTTTCTGTCAAACCATTTTTATCGTTTTCGTTTCCAACAATCTTGCCTTTTATTTTTTTCTCGCTGTGAAACGTATTCGGTCATTTTTTTAAAAATTAATTTTTTGTTAGAGATAAGAGCTAAAACTCGGTAAACAACTTCTTTATGTCTAGAAAATTCTATCTTGCCTTTTATTTTTTTCTCGCTGTGAAACGTATTCGGTCATTTTTTTAAAAATTAATTTTTTGTTAGAGATAAGAGCTAAAACTCGGTAAACAACTTCTTTATGTCTAGAAAATTTAACATTCGTCTCCCATTTTTATATATTTGGTTTAGAATGTTCGAAAATGCGTAATATGGTCATGAATATTAATTGAAAAGAACCTTGAATTAATTCAATCTGATCTCACAAAATATTTTAAATTACAAACTTTGTGGTTTGAATAGATAATTAGTATTAAACTCAAATAACTAGTTTATTTTTGAATAAAAATTATTTGAATTTATTCAATTTTGTGAATTTTCCTTCAAAAATTAAGTTTAAATATCTTATTTGCCATATAATTATAAATACAAAGAAACATATTCGAAATTGAAAAGAATGACTTTTTCTGTTCTTTCAATCATTCAATTTGAATTTTGCAATATTGGATTTCTCATTAAATATCTATTAAAAACAACAAGCAATTTAACTTACATCCAAATTTATTTGTGTTATATTCAATCTTCTCAAAACTTATAATTTTCGGCTATAGCATGATTATATGCTATATAATATAATAAACCTATAATAGTATCATTCTTTCAATTATTTGAAGAGAAAACCGAAAAAATCTATTTTCGGTCTATAACAATATTCATTAAGCAATTTAGTATCTAAATTCTTTTCCACAAAAGGTAAAGGGACTTTTTTTGTCAAAAAAGTGTCACATTAATAAAATCAAAATTCTAGCAATTTTATTTGTGCATATTTTATATTCACATTTAGAAAGAAAAACGAAAAAGATCTTTTGGTATTTTTTTTCTATGAATTTTCAAGATCCAAAACAATATGAAGAAGAATTTGTAAACAAAGTTTATGATCAAATAGCTCCACATTTCAGTCATACGCGCTTCTGCCCTTGGCCTAGCGTTCAAAATTGGGTAAATTCTTTGGAGCCATATTCTGTTATTCTTGATATTGGATGTGGAAACGGTAGAAATCTGGGAATCAATAAATCAATATACAATATTGGAACTGATTATTCATTTGCACTTTGCAAGATCGCAAAATCAAGAAATTTTCAAATTTTTCGGGCAGATGGACTTAAAATCCCTCTTCGGTCAGGTGTGTTCGATCATATAATACAAATCGCTGTTATACATCATTTTGCTACAGAAAACAGAAGAATTCAATGTCTAAAAGAAATAGCTAGACTCCTTAAAATTAATGGAACTGCGTATGTTACAGCTTGGTCAACAAAACAACTCAAAAAAACATATACTGAACAAGATCAATTAGTTCCCTGGCACGTTAGAAAGGATTTTGATAAAAATGAACCGGAATTTGAACGCTTTTATCATTTATTTGTTAAAGGTGAGTTTGCAATTCTTATCTCTCAAATTCCAGAACTAGAATTAATTTCTGAAAAATGGGTAGGTGGAAACTGGGAAGTTGAATTGAAGCGAATATAATATTATATCAATATTTTATTCTTATAGGAATATATTTTTTGAAGTTTTTTTTTGTTTTTAATAAAAGTTCTTTATAAAATACATGTTAATACTAATTACAGGAGATAGCTTGACTTTAACACTAGCAATTACAAGAATCCTCATGAATTGTCGCATCTGATTTTTTATTTGGGTCTGTATACAGCATAGCAGGCTGTTGTTTTAATGTAGGAAGGATAAGAGAACCTGAATTCACTTTATTATAAATCTCTCTTGCAAGGTTCAAAAATGTATCTTGTACATTCGAACCATCCTTTGCGGATGTCTCGATGTATAAGATTCCATGACGCTCTGCAAAGTATTCGGCTTCCTTTTGTCCAATAACTCGGGTGTCCATTAGATCTGTTTTATTTCCTACAAGAATGATGACTGAATTTGGGTGACTAAGGCATTGAATATCACTAAGCCATATTTCAACTTCTTCATAAGAATGTCTATCTGTTACATCATAAACTAAAAGCGCTCCTACAGCATTTCTAAAGTAAGACTTGGCAACACTTTTGGATTTTTCCTGACCTGCTGTATCCCATATTTGCAATTTAGTAGGTTTTCCATCAATTTCACAATTAAAAGATTTGAATTCAACCCCAACAGTTGCCTGTGATTCGCTACGGAATGTATTATTGATAAGCCTTTGAATTATTGTTGTTTTACCTGTTCCAGATTCTCCACCAACAATGACTTTGAAACTTTGAGCCATTCAAAAATATTTAAAATTAAAGCACAGTTTGGAGTTAAGTAAAAAAAAAAAGGTAGTGGGGCTTCCAGGGGCTGCGCCCCTTCTAGCCCTGAAGATGTTTAGTATAAATGAAGTTCTTATATACGGGTCTTCCAGGAGCTTTTCACAAATTATATATGTTTTCATGCTTTGTCACTTTTCTGTCACTTTTCAGGTAAAAACATTTTTATTATTATATATAAATGAATTTTACAAAACCGCCGTTACCGTTCTTTGGAAATAAGAGTAGATGTAAAGATATTATATTGAGAGAACTTAAGAAACTACCGAATGGTCTAACATTTGTAGATTTGTTCGGTGGAAGTTTCTATATATCCCATTTGTGTCATACAATATTCCCAGACTCAAAGATTATATGCAATGACTTCGACAACTATATGGACCGTCTCAAACATATTCCAGACACAAACAATATATTGAAAGAGTTAAAAGAAAAGATACCTATAGGTAAGATGGAACGTATACCATTAGATAACAAAAATATTGTGAGAGAGGTTTTGAAAAAAGCAGAATATATAGACTGGGATAGTATATCTGCTAGACTATTATATAGTGGTTCTATAAGAGTTCATGACATTGAAACACTTATGTCAAACGTTTTATATCTTAACTATACAAATGTTTTCAAAGAGAACATAGAAAAATATATTGAGGGTATAGAGTTTGTGAGATGTCATTGGACAGAGTTGTATGAAAAATATAAAGACAAGGAAAATGTTTTCTTTATAGTGGACCCGCCGTTCTATAACACATGGGATTTTCAATACCAAGTAGACTGGACTTTGAGAGACTCTTTAGAAACTTTAGACGTTTTACATAACTGTCCATGCTTTTACTTTACATCCGATAAAAGTGGTTTGGAAACCGTTATGAGATGGTTAGAGGACATACATGACTATGTGTTTAAATATGACAAGATAGAATATGAGAGAGGTCCTATAAACCGGAGAAAGTGTCATAACAAAGAAATTTTACTAGTAAGTAAATGTGGTTTGAAATAGGACTACTTGTTTTAGGTTTTTTCCATTGTGTCATTTATTTCTTTGACGTGGCAGAAAGATATAGAGAATATGAAGATGAACCAATGCCTGCAAATGTCCAGTATATGTACTCGTAAGAGATATTTTTATCTAATATTAAATGGACGCACAGAACTTAGCGAATGCACAACAACCTGGACAACCAAACCCAGAGAATATTCCAAATGAAGTTAGAATACAAACTGCAATGGCAAACTATGGTCAAGTGCCAACAGATGTACAAATGCAAACTGCCATGTCAAATGACGCTGCGTTAGGTTTGCCACCATGGTATGCAAATATGAGATGGAAAGAGTTTTATACAAACCCTGAAGTGGGATATAAACAACTTTATGCAGATGACGCGAACACAGGAGTTGACCCAGAATATGTTTTCTACCAGAGGAGAAACAGAATGTATGAGCTCCAGTTAAAGAATGCTATGGAACTCAACAGGAAACGTAAGAGACTAGGCGGACATTAGATTTTTACACGTAGTAAATGGGTTTCTTCAGTAGTATTGGAAACTTCTTTCGAAATGTTGGAAGAGGTATATGGAATGGAATAAAAACCGTAGGAAGAGGAATTTGGAACGGAGTCAAAAATATTGGTAAAAGAGTAGGTCAGTTTGTTGGTATTATACCTAAAGACCCTGAACCAGAAGAACAAGCTCCTGTTATACAACAGCCTGAACCTGCACCACAGTCTAGTTGGCAACCAAATCCAACACCTCAACCGTATTAAAAAATTATATTTTTACCGTTCGATAGTAGTTGTATATGAAACTAAGTTCTAAGTAAAACGCATGGTATAATGGAATTATTCTTTTTCTTCCATCTGTAGTAAACCATACTTGAAAGTCTGAAATACTTCCACTTGGTGGTTCGTATAACTTTGTAGGTTTTTCGTAAAAGTCATTTGCCAAGCATAAGAAAGAGTTTTGTGCACCAGAAAATGAAGCATGAACGATAATAGCATCTGGGTCGAAAACATTTTCATATGTTCCATTAGGGTTTTCGACTTCATAAAAGTCCGGGTGTACTGGATATTCTGCAGGCTGATTTAACATCCTCATAAATCTATACCATGCCAAGTTGTTATATTTTGTAGAAATATAAACGTTTTCTCCAAGGTCTTCTATTCTATTGATTTTAACAGTTGCATTTTTCCTGTCATAAATAATATCGAGATGGTACTCTCCCTCGTCAATGTTATACTGGTTTGCATATTCGATATAGATGTCGTTTATTTTTTCTTGAAAAGCTTGAAGAGTTGTTTCTAAGTTTACAAGCAAATTCACTTGTAAAAGTTTTCCCTGTTCAAATTTCTCATACATACGTTTTTCTTTGTTATAGTATCGAACTTCAAAACCGACTGTAAATGGGAAACCATGTATGGCTTCTGAAATAAACTTCATTCTACGAAAGCCAATAGCTTTTGTGACGGATGGGTCTCTTAACCATCTTAACGGGTAGTCAAAACGATAGCCTTCATGCTTTACGGTCTCTGTCTCAAACTTTTGACCGACATTAGTAAAAAGTTCATCTAATGGTTTAGTTGTAGCAACTCTTGAATTTTCTTTTTCTATTGAAAGCATATTTTATCTAGAATAAAAATGTCAAATGAAACAGCGTCTATGAGAGAAATACAACACAACCGACAACTCATTATGCAAGCTCTAAATAAGAACACAACAAACTTTTCAAACTATTCTAAGATATCTGAGTCATTGAAAGAAGGAAACTTAAAACTGACATTAAACCCAATGACAGATGAGTTTCTGTTTCAAGACAAGAAGAACCATACTGTCTGTATAAATCCAACAAAAGGAACTTTAAACGAGAAACCTATAAATGAACTTCTTTTGAAAGCAGATGTTGACAACAAAGCTGACAAAGAATATGTAGACGATGCAATAGCAAAAGAAGAAGAAAGAGCTAACAAAGCTTATGCAACAAAAGAACATACTCATCCTGAACTAGCAGACAAAACATATGTTGACAATAAAATGTCAAGTGAAGTGACAAGAGCTGAAAACAAATATTCTAAAAAGACTCATACACATTCTATATCTGAAATAACAGACTTAAACGTCAGCCTTGAAAAGAAAGCGGATGAGGAATATGTGGCTAGTAAGTTAGAGAAGAAAGCAGATAAGGAATATGTGGATGAAAAAGATAACGAAATGAAAGAAAGGGTTGACTGGTACCATGAATGGACATCGAAGATTTTAAAAACTAAAGCCGATACAGGATGGGTTTCAGGATGTTTAGACCTTAAAGCAGATAAAACTTATGTTAACGATGAGTTAGAGAAGAAAGCAGATAAGAACCATACACATACAAGTTTTACAACTGTTGCTATAGAAAGTATTGAAGGAACGGTTGAAGAAACTGGTGGGGATGCATTATATTGTAAACCTCCTAACTTTCCACAAGGTTTAACATCGGATGACGACATAACGACGATGAAAAACATTAGATGTAAAGATGTTTATGTCATGAAGGATGAACATAATATTAAATTCACTGCTCAAGATTTATATGACAAGAAAGCAGACAAAACAGAGCTTCAAACATTAAAGACAGAAATACTTCAAACATTATATCCTATAGGCTCTATTTATACGTCAATGAACTCTACCAGACCAGAAACAGTTCTGGGTTTTGGAACTTGGACTCAAATAGTCGACAGGTTTTTGTATTGTGCAAACTCTTCAAAGGAAACAGGTGGAAGTAAAACGATTTCAGGTGAAAATTTACCTGCACACAGTCACTACATAGATTTAAGTACATCTCAAGCAGGTTGGCATAAGCATAGATATTGGGATTGGTCAGCAATGACAAAAGGTAAAGGATATGATGTTAAAGACAACGTTAAGTTTGCTATAAATTGTTACTGGAGTAACACTGAGGGAGGAGGAAACCATACACATCGCGTTTCAGGATATACGCAAACAACGGGACAAAGTAAAGACTACATGCCACCTTACATGACAGTTTACGCATGGTATAGAAATGCTTAGTCGTCATGTTCCACTTCTTTAGCATATTCGTCAGGAGTTGTCTTATATTTGTTAGGAACTGTCTTTGAAAGTATACCACCTTGAACTTTGACAAGTTTGAAACGAGGTCTGACAATAGTAGTTTTATCTTCTGCTTGCAGTCTGTACATTTTGCCATGTTTGCCTAAAACTTCATAATATTCTCTTGTATACTTTCTTCTATTTTTACGAACACGAACGTGAGTACCTGTCGGGTTCCCATTGTTGTCATAGTCAATAGTATTTTCATATGGGTCGCGTTTAGGTATTTCTATTTTTACTTTGTCACCTTTCTGAAGTTTGAAGCCCGGCATTCTTTCTTGTTTGTCTCTTTTGACTAAATTATTAAATATATAGTCTTTCTCTAAGTCAGGGTTGTTTTTCATTTCTTCGGGGGAGTGGTTTCCCAAACCTTTTTGTTTACGGTTATTGTAAATATTTAAAACTTGTCTCATCTTTGCCATGGAGAAGTGTCTATACTTGTCGTCATATGACATTTCATTTGCTTCACCACCTTGTGGTTGGTTTAAGTCTCTTAACATTTTTATACAACCGTCAATGACACCAAGAGCAGAATGGTTTTGGTCGACAATGAAATATTGGTTTACATTTTTTGAACGCAGATAGTTTTTTACATCATCTGATTTGAAAGAACTTTCACAGTCAGATGTCAGTTTTGTTGGATGGTATTTGTCAACGAATATTGTCAAAGCAGTTTTCACATCTAAAATATTTTTGGACCATAATGGTATGACTTCACAGTATCTTGTGTTTTGACCGACAAATATTAGCCAGTATGGTGGTCCATCTGTTCTAACTCTCGGAATGTTTTCCAAGATATCCATAAACCAAGCATTTGGTGTTGAACTAAAGATTTTTACCATGAGTGCTTTCTTTGTCGCTTTAGAAACATAGGGGTCCTTGTTTGGATTCGTCATTTTTTAACCCATAAGAAATGGGTTTATTTGGCGCATTAGCAGGAGTCGCATCTAGATTTTTACCCGCAGTGGGAACAATAGCCAGAGGTGTATTTGGAGTTGGAAGGAAGATTTTGAGTACATTAGGTATACTTAAAGAGAAAGCACAACCTATTATACAAACTGTACAGAAAGGTTGGGAGGTAGCACGAGATGCAACAAATCTTATTCCAAATCCTGAAACAAGAGGAAAAGTTCAAGGATGGATGGACAATGTAGGAAGACAAGCAGGAAACTATTATAACAAAGCAAATGACTACTATAACCAAGCAGGACCACTATATGGACCAAGGTGAAAGATTCTTTAACAGAGGATATAACCATGCACAAACAGTGGGTAAACAATAACCAACCTCAACCGCCTCAAACGTGGGGAATGTAAAGTTTTTTACTGAGATGAAATGAACAATACAGCATTGAGACAAATGGGTTCAAGATGGATTTGTCGGCTTCCAGCAGTTACACAACGTGTTTGTCAAGTTCTTCCTATACCTCAGGAAGTTTTAGACCGACTTAAAAAACCTCAACAACCAGTTGAAAACAAACCAAACTAAAATTTTTTACTGAGATGAAATGACCGAAGAAGTTGAAACGGTAGATTTGACACCACAAACAAAAAGTTCAGAACCATTGTCAAAACCTGTCAAAGAACTTACAGATGAAGAGAAAAATTCAATAATAGAAAGTGCCAGGTCTGGAAATACAAACCCTAACTACAAAGTCACTTTTCATAAAAATGGAACGGCTAGTATCTCAAAAAAGAAACAGACTCTCACAAATAAAATATTGAAGTCTGAAGGAGCTTTCGAGACAACAGATGGAAAAGTTTACTTCACTGACAACAGTTCATTATAGAACATCTCATTGACTTAGAGTCGAAATATTCTAAACTTTACAACAAACACAAAAAGTTGAAAGGAAAACAAAAACAAATGGCATATGATATTTATGAAGATGTTGACGACACAACTGTTCCTGCAAGTGAAGTAAAGTCAAAGGAACCGAAAAGTGACGAAAAACCGATAGAAGAAGAAAAACCAAAAACTGAAGATAAACCAAAACCAAAGTTTAGTTTGGAAACTAAACCAAGTCAACCTTCATTAGCTGGTATGGGTTGGCGTCAAAGACTTATGGCAGCAGGCGGTTATGTTAAGTAAAGAAAAAAATATTTTTTATTTTTATAAAAATGCCCCCATATAGAATGGATAGAAAATCTGCTAGAATAAAAGCAGAGTTGCAAAGATATGGTTGGAGAGTTTCGAAGAAGTTTAAATATAGGAAGGGAAGACCCATAAAAGTCTATGACAAATTGTCTGGTCTTCGCTACGAAATGGATTTGGAAAACAGCACGTGCAAATTATCCAAACAGACTAGAGAGGTTAGAAGAAGAACGTCTTATGGACATGCCTTTCGATGTTAGTGAACCTCAAGTTGAAGGACATGACGGCTTTGCCAGATTCTACTGGAAACATGACGAACAATTGCATCCTTTGAGAAGGAAAAAAGGTAGTGCAGAGGATGGTCATGCTCCATGGAAAGAACAAGATATGCATATGAGAAGTACCGTGAAGTTAGAAGTCAAATTACTTCTGGTCGAACCTTTACAGTAAACTTTGACGAAGGAAAGAACAAAGAAGGCTTCATGGGTGTACTTGCTGCCATACAAGACGGAATAAGAAAGGACACAATCTCAGAATGACCATAACAGATTTGGATGGTCACATTTACTATGCACATGGCAATGAACAAACAGCCGCAAAACTTCTTGACGCTTTCAAGACTACAAAGAGAGAACAAATGGTTGACTCCGACTCAGACATTTTGAATGCAATTGAAGGAATTGCAAGTGTCAAGTTCGAATGGTACCAACCTAACCCTCAAGCAGTCAGACAACATGCTGGATACTTCCCCTTCAGAAATAAGTCTGACATTGACTTGACAAGGTATGGAATTTACAATTCAATTGAAACAATTGTCAATGAACCTTGCATTCTTACATGTCTCAGGAACTCTGGTCTTGTTACAGATGAGAAAATGAAGTATCTTGAGTCATGTGTGAAGACAAGGTACATTCTCAGAGGTCAATTGGCAAAAATTGCACCTTTGGCAAATGTCAATATCCGAGTCAACATACCTACAGCTAAAGGTTCTTCACATGACGACTATGTTGTTGACTTCAAATTGCCATGGTTGAAGATTGTAATTGTCCACAACCACTTCATGTTGAACGAAAGTCTTACAAACCCATTGTTCGGAAAAGGCAAGTGCAACATTGTCAGAGCTGTAAACATTCTTTTCGAGAAAGGTTTGTTGGAACCAATTCCAGATGACAAGCTGACAGAAACTTTTGTACCAAAAGACGAAACAAACTTTTCATTGTTAGCAAGACCAAAAGTTGTTCCAGACAAAGTTCTAGTACAAAAGAAGTACACAATTCCACAAGGAGTTGGATTGTTCGGATACCAACCTGAACCAGAAGAACTTCCAATGAGGTTGCAAGAACTTCAAGATGCTATAAACAAACTTCCATTGAGACATCCAATTGACGTCAAATTGTATTGGAGAGCATCTGAGTTAGGTCAGAAGGTTTTATATGAAACAGGTTGCTTCGACGATGTTTATGAGATAACAGGAGAAGTTTCTCAGAAGATAAGAGACTCACTTGAATTTCCACAAACTGGACCAATTGGTTGCGACAAGTTCGACTCAAACGAAAAGATATACTATGTCGACCTTAACGCTGCGTACATGAGGTTTGTCCAATATATTCCGACTGGAATTCCAAACGAAGATGGTGAGTTCCCGGGAAGGAACTATACAGTTGGAAAAGTCATACAACAACTGTATGATATTAGGAAAGCTTCAAACCCCAAACTTGCAATGACACTCAAATTGCTTATGAATTCGACATGGGGATATTCCATTAAGAAACCTCAAGAGATGAAGAGTAAACATTATGAGAAGGTCGACAACTTTGTTGAAAGGTTTTCTCCTTTTGTTTTGAAGTACGAGTTCACTCAAGGTCAAAGTGGCTTAGTAACCACATTAAAATCTATTGTCGAACATTGGTCTTACCCTCAGTTCGCAAAAGCAGTCCTTGACAACTACAACAAATTCTTCTCCGAAGTCAAATCGAAAGTTGTGGTTTACTATGAGAACATTGACGCACTCATGACGAACGAAGAAGGCTATAACAAACTCATTGAAATGGGAATGGTCGGTGAAAAGATGGGCTGTTTTAAGCTAGATAAGGTATTTTCAGAAGTTCATGTCCTCTCCAAGCGTAAGTACTGGGGCATACTTGAAGACGGCACAGAAATAAAACATTGCATGAAGTAAAAAATTGCATGAAGTAAAAACGTTTTTTAAAACAATATATTTTTACATATATTAAATGCTTCAGGTTGAAAAACAAAGAACAAAAGTAGCAGATACAAAACCGTTAGACTATATCTATACAAATGCTGGTAGGACTATTTCAGATGAAGAAATTTCATCCCGAACATACAGGTTTGACTATCCAATTCGTTGGCTTCAAAGTCCTTCAGATGCAAAGGCAATAGGATTTAGAAGAGTTTTGTTTTCAAATAGAACTAACGCATTTATGTTCGCAGTATATTTTCATGGGCAGTATAAAGGTTCTGATGGTCTAATAGACAAATTTGACGAAATGAGAATCTTTACAGTTCGTTCAGACGAAAGTCTTGAGAAAACTCTAAATGACTTTCAAACTCAAATGAACAAATACTATTGGGAATTTCAAGAAAAATACGACTCTTTACTAAATGGAACATACTATCTGAAACTAGAATATGACAAGATGAACTCCACCGTTTCATTTCAAAAGATTGAAATTAACCCTCCAAGAGATACGGAGTTTTTATTTTGGGAAGTAGACAAACGTTCTTGGGCACAATTTCTTCGGTTACTAAACCAGAACGAACCATTACCACCAGATGGTCCATTTAAATTTATACTTCCACCAGCAGATTTGACAGTTTATAGAAACGTGTTTGACCCTCAAAATGTTATGTGCCATGCAAGTTTCAGTTCAAGCAACAATAGTTTTCTATGTATTGGCAAGGACTTTTATGACTTTGCTTCTAAATTCTACGAACCACCTAGTAACAGTTTCTCTGACTTTCAAGTTTGGTTCACAACAAATGGTGTGCAGCATATTCTTCCATTGTACTATGACTTTTATCTCGAATTGTCTTTCATATATAACTACGGAAAAGTGCTGAAAAAGTATTGAATGTGAAGTTTAGGTGAAGTGGTGAGATCTCACCCGTTTTTTCACCTGTTTTTTCACCCGTTGAATTTTCATGAATTTTCCCGAAATAAAAAATACTTTTAGGTGAAGTGGTGAGATCTCACCTGTTTTCTCACCTCTTTTCTCACCTGTTGAATTTTGTTGCTGAATTCGGCAAAAATATATTTTAGGGTAGATGGTTTTTAGGTGTCACCAGGTCCCTCGGTTAAACGAACTTCTCTGAAAAAATGAGACAACATGACATTTTGACAACAACACAGGAAATAAACTTCTTCGTATATGTTTTGTCATGATTTCATCGTAAATGTTTTGTCAAACATGAACGTATATGTTTTGTCATGATTTCATCGTAATGAGTGTAAAGGACCCAAAAATATATTTTAGGTGAAGAGGTGAGATCTCACCTGTTTTCTCACCTCTTTTCTACCATCGTAGAAAACACACAAAACTCTTGAATTTTGTTGTTCCCGGACCAAAAAATATATTTTAGGTGAAGAGGTGAGATCTCACCCGTTTTCTCACCTGTTTTCTCACCCGTTGAATTTTCCCGAAATAAAAAATAAAGTTAGTTTTTTTAAAAAAATATTTTTTATTTTTATTGTAAGAACATGTTAGCAACAACAGCACCAAACTCGTTAGTCATGAACCCAACTTCAATGTTAGTAGAGATGAAAAGCTTCATTCCTTCTTCATATACTTTCGAAACAGAAATCCAGAAGATAAAGCAAGAACTTCTCCAAGGAGATTTAGATTGCACTGCGAAAGATGAAACAAATGAAGAATATCTTTATGAAATGCAGGATATTATTGACCATCTACCTAAACTTCCTGAAATACAACAACAAAAGCTCACTATTCCTGAATTCGATGAAATAGAAGTCAAAGCAACTGACTCGGTAGAAATAAAGAAGTTCATACGTAAGGTTAACTATGAGTTTCTTGGATTTCATTGCAACCACAAAGTCATGGACAAAGATTGCGACATGTTATATAAGAATGTTTCTGACATATATAAATCGGAGGAGTTTAAGACCTACGACAACTTTGTTTCGTTAGTTGCTGAATGTGTATGGCAGATAAGAGATAAAGATAAAAGAGGTAAAGTATGGAACGAACAAATAAAACCAGCAACTTTTGAGTTAAAGAAAACCATTGACGCTATAGTTGTACTTGCAGGACAAATTTCAATGTACAATGCTAAAATGAACCCACAATGTTCTAAATGTAAAGCAGCAATGAGGAAATATAACTACTCCGTCAAAGAGATAGAACGTATGCGAAACGACTATGCTGACTTAAAGAAAGAAGCAGAGAAACCAGCAGAAAATAAAATGGACATGTTAGAATTTCTAAACAAAAACTATCCAACTGCTGACGATTTCCTTCTTTCAGATGTCAAGAAGAAATATAAAGATACATTCAATATTGTGAAAACTTTTGACATACTGACAGAAGAAATAGAAGCCACAAAATTGTTTAGAATTTCAAATATACATCGTACAATTCATGTAAAACGCTTATAAAAAAAAGAGGTGAGAAAAGAGGTGAGAAAACGGGTGAGATCTCACCTCTTCACCTAAAATATATTTTTGCTGAGTAAAATGACCAAATTTCATGAATTTCCTCATATGTTTGCTACCCTCGAAAAACTGAGGGAAGAGATTCCATTCGAAAACAGTGAAAAAATGACCAAATTTCATTATATAACTGTTATTTTTTGACGAAGAGAACTTTTGCACTTCGTTTAAAATACACTATTTTTGTGTTATTTTTTACGAAGAGAACTTTTGCACTTCGTCAAAAAAATCCCTGAAATCATATCTTTTATACAAAATTCAAGAGGTGAGAAAAGAGGTGAGAAAAGATGTGAGATCTCACCTCTTCACCTAAAATATATTTTTGCTGAGTAAAATGACCAAATTTCATTATATAACTGTTATTTTTTGACGAAGAGAACTTTGACACTTCGTAAAAAAAATCCCTGAAATCATATCTTTTATACAAAATTCATGAAGAATACGAGTGGGTTCAGTTTAACAAACAACTCCGTCTCATTCGTTCGGTCAAAGACGATATGTACCAAATGCAAAGTATTTTGACAGTATGTTTTGCTCCAGAAACCAAACACGCAGACGACTGGTTCAAAAACCAAAGCACACAAGAATTTTTGAGTGAAATTTCTCTAGACCGACTTTTTTCGGTCTTGCATAAAACACATGAAAACAGTGAAAAAATGACCAAATTTCATTATATAACTGTTATTTTTTGACGAAGAGAACTTTTGCACTTCGTAAAAAAAATCCCTGAAATCATATCTTTTATACAAGATAGAAAAAAACCCAGTCGCCAAAACTCATGAAAATCGTGAAAAATTGCGAGTAGGGAAAAAACCCCAGTCGCCAAAAATCCCTGAAATCGTGAAAAAATGACCAAATTTCATTATATAACTGTTATTTTTGACGAAGAGAACTTTTGCACTTCGTAAAAAAAATCCCTGAAATCATATCTTTTATACAAGATAGAAAAAATAAAGTTAGTTTTTTTTAAAAAAATATTTTTTATTTTGTATGTAAAGACAGAAAATGACAAACACTGAGTTTGAAACAGTTAGAAAGATAGACAATGACACCAAAATGGTTAGAATATGTGATTTAAACGTAAGATACTCAAAGAAATACAACAAATATTCTTTGTCAGACATTCTAACACTATCTGGAAAGAAAACATCCCACGACTGGGTTAGAACTGCTTCTACTCAGAAAATTTTGACAAGAAATCCTGAGCTTATGATATCGGTAAGATTCTATGGAACTGCAGCATATCTCATCGACAAAAGTCTTATACCAATAGTTTTGTTATGGTTAGACCCAGTTGTTGGATATAACTTCATAACATATGGTTCATTCGATACGGAACGTTGCAGTGAAGGCTTACTTTACATCGTTCAGAAACCGAAGGACTTCAACACAAAAAGATATAAGATAGGAAGGACATATAATATAACTCAAAGATATGACAGTACAGTCAATAGAGTCAAGGTTGTGTTTGTTAACGATATGAGAGCTGCTGAAACAGAACTACTTGAAAAGTTTGAGAAAATGTATGGTGCTCCCACGAAAGGTAAAGAAACGTTTGAAGTAGATGAGATAGATAAAGCTATAAAATTATTTGACGAAGTTGCTGAAAAATACATGTAAAGCGTTTATTTTTGGTCTTTTGTGAAAGTAAGAAAATAACGCTAATTTTTTATAAAATATTTTTTTTATTTTGTATGTAAAGACAGATATGTCAACAACAGAGAACACAACAACTGCTATCGTTCATGAAGATATAAATGAAGAATATGAGTACATACAGTATAACAAACAGTTACGTCTCATTCGTTCGGTCAAAGATGACATGTACCAAATGCAAAGTATTTTGAATGCTCTTCGTTCTACAAAGCAAGCATATCATTGGTTTGAAAACCAACAGACAAAAGAACTTTTAGAAGAATTTCCTCATATGTTTGCGACCCTCGGAAAACCGAGGGTCGAGATTCCGTACGAAAATCGTGAAAAATTGCCAAACGGTTTGAGAGGATATTATGTACATAGACTTTTAGTAAATGCTGTAGCAATGTGGGCTTCACCTCGTTATGCTTGTTATATTTTCATGATGTTAGATGAAATTCATAGACAAGAACGTGAAGAGATGGAAAAGAAACTTCAAGCAAAAGATGAAGTCATTGAATCCAAAGACAAAAACATACAGAAAAGAATACCACGTTCGGTACCAAAAGGAAAGGAAAAGAACTATAAGTATATGATTTATACTGAAGAGATGGAAAATGAAGAAGACAGAGATATGGTTATGTTGCATTTAGTCAGAAGAAACAACAAAAGCTTTTACGACCTTGCTAAGATTTACAAATCTGACAGAAATTGGTTCTATCGCGAAAACTTACCGATTTCAATGACCCCAAATGAAGATGTGAAACAAATAGTTCAAGATACGTTACCTCAAACACACTATGATATTAAAGGTTGTACAATACTTACCTTCAAAGAAGATTTGCCGCTACTGAAAGAAAAAATAACAGAGTATTTTGACAACTTCAAACAAGCAGAGTAAATGAACCATTTATTTTTCAAGCTTGACTTCAGATGGCTCAGGTAGCTCTATAAGGTCAATTGTCTTGTCAAATCCTTCTGGCATTCCGAGTCCTTCCTTCCGACAGGAAAAAATTTTCCTTCCAACAGGAAAAAATTTTCCTTCCAACAGGAAAAAATTTTCCTTCCAACAGGAAAAAATTTTCCTTCCAACAGGAAAAAATTTTCCTTCCGACAGGAAAAAATTTTCCTTCCAACAGGAAAAAATTTTCCTTCCAACAGGAAAAATTTTTCCAGTTGTCCGTCCGTAAACCATTCAAATTTTCGAAAATTGAGAACTTTTTGGTCGAACTTCAGAAAAAGTTTTTCCTTCCGACAGGAAAAAATTTTCCTTCCGACAGGAAAAAATTTTCCTTCCGACAGGAAAAAATTTTCCTTCCAACAGGAAAAAATTTTCCTTCCGACAGGAAGAACTCTTCCTTCCAACAGGAAAATATTTTCCTTCCGACAGGACACAAACGAATGTCCGACGTACCACCAACCGAGTCCATTCCAAAGCCAGAAGAACCGAAAGCTGCAGAACCACAACAGACTAAGACTAAACACTTACATTTTTTACGCTTGACTTTTTACAATTTGAACTTTGTTTGCGTAGATATGAATTCTGAAAGAAGTATGAGGGTCTTGTATGACTTTGTACTTCTCCCATAGTTCATGTCTGTCAAACTTACCTGCCATGGACTCTTTCATAAGTTCCATGAAATCGTCTTCGGACAATCCGGGGAAAAGTACAATGTCAGTAAGTATTCTCTTTACATCCTTACTTAAACTCTTTGCTGTCTGTACACAAATGACAACTGAAATGTTAAAGTGTCTGAGCTTCTTAAGAATTCGACACATGTCTTGTTCTCTGTTCTTTAACAAAGGATGAGAGGCGAAATCATCTAAGATAAGAAGACACCTATGAGGGTGTCTTCCAATCGTAAGATTGCAATTTCTTCGAAATGTATTCTATCTCTTTCTGTTTGTTTCTGAAGTGTTTCTTCTCTAATATTCTCTGCATTTCCTCATTTGGGTCTTTAAACTTCGAATTTATATACTCATTTATAGCATTGTACTTCAAAACCCTTCTTTGGTACTTCTTTATCCAATCTAACAACTCAGTATCCTTTATACATACTAACTTAGACTTCTTTATAATATCTTTGAACGAATTGACGGTTTGGTCAAATTGACCAGAAGTACTACAAATGACAACTAACTCATAGAATGGGTTCTTCTCATCTAGTTCTTGTTGTTGTGCAGCCATTTTAAGATAAGTGAAAGTCTTACCCGACCCAGGTGGTGCAATTAGACCTGTTATACCATTCTGAGCAAATAAGAACTTGTCATGTATGGGTTTTATCTGAGCATTTTCCAACTTCCTCTTGTTCTTATTTAAAACATTCTCAAATTTTTTGTCAATGTCAGCAAACTTTTTTTCTAACATATTTTTAGAAAAATTAAAATTTTTATCTTTTAGAAAATGTCTAGCGATTTCGCTATCTATATTCGAGACAAGCTTTTCGACAGCAAAACATCTGTCGACCATAAAATCTTACATAGTGTAAACAAGAAAGGGAATTTGTTCTAAAGTTCTGTTTCTGGGAATATGACAAGAACCATAAAACATTAAGCAGAGCAGTCTTAAAATTTGTCAATGACAGACTTGTTGACAGAGATGACACCGATTGGAAAGATGAAGTCCAACAAAAGTTCTTAGAATGCAAAGAAGACACATGCGCTGTTCTTGAAGATGAAATAGAAAACAGAATAGATGAGCTATTAAAGGACAAAGAACTTTTACATAAATATGGTTGCGCCAAATTTGACATAACTCCACCAGAAAAGAAGAAGAAGAAAAGAAAGAAAAGAAAGTAGAAGAAGAAGAAGAAAGAACCAGAACCAGTTCCAGAGAAAAAGAAATTTGACATGTAAAAATAAAATTTTATTTTTAGAACATTTCTGGGTCAATGTCAATGTTCTCTTCCTCTTTAGGAGCAAACACTGGCTTAGACTCTAAAATCTTTTTACCCAATTTACCTTGAACTTCAACTATCTTAGACTCATAATATTCATAGTCGTCTGCTTTCTTTGGTTCATAAGGTATAACAAGTTTGTATGCTTTGCCTTCTTTAAGGTTTGAGAACCTTCTGTCAAAACTTTCTTTGACTGTTAACAAACCTTCTATGTCTAAGTCTTCAAATTTCGCACCATTTTTAGTCACAATAGCAAACTTAACTGGTTCGATGTTCCAAACTTTGCTGAATGAAGACTTTTCAAAATGGTAGAAGTAAACATTCAAATATGTGAATGGGTCTAGTTCTTCTTTAAGTCCTGACATGTACTTATTTACTGAGATGAATTTCGTCATCTTTTCTATCGGATAAAAAAATTTTTTTTTTAAAATTTACTCAGAAAAATTATTTCTTTCTATATTTGCCATTCCGAACTTCGAAAAGATGTTTTATACCAGCATAGAATTTTTCTCTAGAGCTTGGTCTTATATCGTTTTCATGACAATATTTTCTATATTCTTCATATAAAGCCTTTTTTTCATACATTTCATAAGGACAATCTAACCAGAATAGCGCATATCCATTTTCGTTATCTAGGTCTCTATATGTTTCTTCTGTTTGTAGAATTTCGCTTTCTCTATTTAGTTCTATGTCTATATATTGTGGCTTAAAAAGATGTGGGCAAGAAGGGTCTGGCGCTATGTAAAAAGTTAATTTTTCTGTCATCTTTTTCTATCGGATAAAAAAATATTTTTTTTAAAATTTACTCATAAAAATTTTTCTTTGTATATACACCATTCTGTACGTCTAAAAGACTTTTGACATTTGCCAAGAATGTTCGTTTAGACGCTGTCATATAACCATATTCTTGACAATATTGTTTATACGAATCGTACAATGACCTTTCATCTAAACACTCAAAGTCAGTTTCATCTATGAACAGTTCATATACACTCTTGTTTGCTTCTAACAATGTTTGTCTCTCTTCGGTATGTGGAATTTGTCTTGGATTGAACTTAGAAATATCTAATGTCATGAAATATGAGAACAAGTGGTTGTAAAAGTCAGATGTCAAAGTTTCTGCTAAGTCGTCAAAATATTCTGTATCTTGCATATGAGAATCTGACGTTCTGACAACTACATATCTTCTGTCAGAACTTTCTAACTTCATCGGAACAGCATTGTTTGAAACCATAATGAAGTTTGCAACATTTTCACAAACTCTTTGGTCTTTATACTTTCTTTCAACAACTCCAACTTTGTCTGTTATAAGACTCTTCAAAGCATCTGAGTTCAAAACTTTTGTTGTATCTATACTTTGAAGTTCATTGCAAACTATAAGTTTCATATTCTCTATTGAGGAGTTAAACTTGCCACAGATGTTTTCTAAGTTTGTCATATTAGGGTTCGAATAACCTTCTAACAGTTTGCATAAGATATCTGTAAAGAAAGTATTCTTACCAGTTCCTTGTTTTCCAATTATAATGAGAGCAGTTTCATTTTTAGCACTTGGATGTTGTAAGATGTTTGCAAACCAACATAAGATATACTCATAAACCTTTTCGTTTCCATTGCATATAATTTCTTTGACATGGTCTAACCAAGCTTCTATAATATTTTCTTTCCATTCTACTTGTTCATATTTATATCCAGTGAAGATAGAATAGAAGTTTGGAGAAGGTGTATAAAACTTTATACCACGAACTGAAAAATCTTCTAACTTTGACAATAAGATATCCCAAGCATCTAACATCTTCATGCCAACTTGTACGACTTTTATTTTCTTAAGTTTCTGTCTACATTCTTGTTCTGAAACTATTGTTGCTCTTGGTTTGTTAAAGACTACATCCCATTCTTTCATAACATAACATTCTGGGGCAGAGTCGACATAAATGACTAAACGTTTCAAATTCTCGACTGCTTTGTTATAGTCTCGAAATGGACACATATTTCTGAATGCTTGGAAGTCATAAAAATCTGAAACATCTATTCTGTACATTTTTATAAAAATAAAAAAAAATATTATTTTTTTATTCTTGAGCTATTTGTTGCATTTGTTGTTCTTGAGCTATTTGTTGTTGAAGTTGTTCTTGTAATACAATACTTTCACCAGTTGCATCTTCCAATTCGAAACTTTCTGCCGTCATTGACAAATACATAGGACATAAAAGTTTTACAGGAACAAAGTTTGCGTCAACTAAGGTTAAGTTTATGTTTGCTAAAGTGTTTGAGTTTACTAAAGCTGAAAACTCTGCATTCGAATGAACAATAGGCAAACCAGCAGAGAATGTGTTATTTATACGCATAAGTATCTTTTGGTCATAGTAGTTTCTGTCGACATTCGAATAACACTTTGAACCTAAGTTTGAAACAATATATAAAATAGGTGTACTTAAAGTCAATGGAACAGACATTCCTTGTATGACACCTTTTCCTGTTATAGGAAACTGTTGGTAGTAAAAACCAGATATAAGTTTTGTATTATAGCTCATATTGTTTATAGTAAACTCAGTCGGACATCCAAACATAATGAAACCTGCTCTAGTTGCAGCACATGTTACACCCGTACTTAAAGTATTAAATAAGTCAACAAAACCTGTTGGTGGTATATCTGAGTAAGTATCTTCAAAGGAGTATTTTTTACCATTCACAACAATAAAATCTTCTGGTGTCAAAAGAGCAAAACAAGCTTTAGTCGTCATTGTGTTTAAGGTTAGTTTACAATATCGTCCTTGAGGACTTTGTAAGTTTGTTGTTATAGAATTATATGACTCAGGGTTTTTAGTCGTAATAGTATAAACCACTATGTCTTCTGCCATTTTACTTAGCAAATAAATTTTAATGAAATGTTGTGGTCGTCAAATATTTTTATAACGTCTGGGAAACTATATTTTAAGTTCAACGTTTCACCTCCTTTCATAACGTATATCTTGTCAATGACATTATATGAAACACCACAGCAACTAACGTCGGGTTCTATTTCTTTGATGTGTTTATATCGTCTGCCTCTGTCAAAAGTTTCAATAGTTCTTTCAAAAACTTCATGAGGTGCAATGACATATGAGTTCACTTTTACAGGGTTGTGTTCGACCAAGTTTAACATTATACTTAAAGCTTGACAAATCTTCTCCTGAGTTTGAAGTTTGTCTTTCAGTTGTTGGTAGTCGTTTCGAATATCTGCAACAGAACTTAAGTCTCTGCTAACTTCAGGGTATGTTGGTTGTTCTTTTACAGGAACTATTGTTATACCATTTTCGTCTTCGTATGGTTTCCCCACTTCAACATCTCTGTCTTTGACATTGACAACAACACTTTGACTGTTTGTTTGAGTTGGTGAATTTAACTTCACATCTGCCACCGCCATTAAACCTTTTGAAACACTTACGCTTCTATTTTTCGGAATGATCTTTTACTTAGAATAAAAAGATGGACGTATTTGAGTATCTCTTCGAATTGAAGCAGAACAAGTTTACACACACAAACAATACAAGTTCATTGACAGAATAGTCTCTTTACACAAACAATGGAAAATGTTATAGAATAGCAGTCTTTGCTGAACCAAAATATTTTCATAAAGCAAAGAAAGTTGGTATAACTGAAAATGGTGAAAGGTTCTTGAAGCAGACAAAAATATAACTTCAAAACTTACAGATATTTCTAAAGGTAAGTTTATAATACAATATTATGTCAAAACTGGCGTACTGTCAATATTTGACGGAGAGAAGTCAGTTCAAGAACAACTTACTGACCTGCTGCCAAAATCTGCTCGATGGAAGCTGTCGTTATGCCAATCTGAGGAGCCCCAGCAGGTTTCATCGAACGAATCTTCAAAAGAGCATCTTCCGTGAAAAGTGCTATTGGTTTTGTAAACTTCTTTGCTCTCAATTCATCTGGACCGTCTCTGTCACCAGTATATTGTATTTGTACAGTACCAACAGTTGAAATACCACCCATAAAGTCTTCTGAGTCAGCAAATGGAATGCCAAGCCAAAAGTTTGAACGGTCTCCATTTGTATATTGAGTTTTTTGACCTCCTGTATGAGTCCATACTTTCACATATGGCATAATAGAACTTTGCATTTCAGGGTTAATGGTTGTTGTGAAGTTGTTGTTAAAGTTCATAGCATCTAATGTCAAGTTGTATGACCTCATATCCTCAACTGTAGAATATTCTTCTCTTGGATAATATTTGCCATCTATGTTTATATGATATTTAATACCGGGGTTGTAGAAACAAGAATAGTCATTTATAGTTCGTCTGAACAGTACAAACATAGTATCTGCATGTTTCATTGCAGTTGTTAAAGCAATATCTGTTCTTGCACCTGGGTCAGCACTTTGGTTTCCAACTTCACCTGCAAAGTCTTTGACAGATATTTGGTGTATAGGGAACATAAGTGGAACTGCAATATATTTGGCAGCTAAAGCATTTGAAATATCTGGGTCCAACATATAGACTGCAAGTCTGCTTTCTATTCTCTTGCATTCAAATTTTTCGCATGTGAACTTAACTGGGTCCCAAGCAGTTCCAGCAGCATTGAAATAATAGTTTACTTCAGTGTTGAAGTTTGAGAAACCAAAGTCTAAGTCAACTTGTCTTTGCAAAAGTCACAGAACTTGGCTCCACCAGTTCCAGCTACAGTAATAGTGAATGGGTCTTGTGTTGGTGCAATGACTAAGTTATTTTTGCTTGGAGTAAGTTCGATAGAAATTTTTCCTGCCCAGTTTGGCAAGTATCTTAAAAACCTGAAGATGAGGAAAGATGACAAAGGAACTCTAAGTTTCAGTTTTACTTTAGTGGCAGCAGTTCCATCTGAACCAGAAAGGTTAACATAAACTCCTGGAACGTTAGGGTCAAGTCTTCTTATTTTCTCAATAGTTGCATACTGGTCTGTTTGTTCTCTAGCTTGTGGTTGTACTGAGTTTCTCAAAGCGAACCATTCATAGTTTGCCCATGTTACTGTTTGAACTAAGTCAGAGTTAGAATATATCTTATATCCCATGAAAACTTCTGGAGCATATTGGTATCCGACATAGAAAATTCCATTGCAACCTTTCTTGTCAGACAACTTGGCAGAAGGTTTTATTTCAATGTCTTGTTCCACGTATAAGAATGAGTTGTCAATAGAAATAATATGAAACCTGTCGCAAGCAATATCTACTGTTGTTGAAGAACCTTCTCTCAAACTCACCTACGTTTCCATAAGAAACAGCAGTTGTATATTCGTAAGTTCCAGGAACTATTTCTGACCTTCTAATGGCATTGTCGCATTCGTTATACCATTCGGAAACGTTTCCGTTCATGGCATCCAAAACTGTTTGGCGTTATATTCTGAGCGGCGTACATTTCATATGGGTAAAAATATAGAATAGTTGGATTTATATGTCATAATAGAACCCACGTGGACCAAGCTTTACTTTCTTCCTGGCTGAGTTTTTAACTCTTCTTTTTCCTTCATTGCCACTACTTTCACTAGATGAAGTTACTTCTTCACTATTTTCACTTTGTTCTACTCTTCTTCTTTTTTGGTAACTTGCCCTCTGCTTCAAGTTGTTGCATCTTTGCCTCATGTTCACCTAGTATGTTGTAAATTTCCCATGTCCTTTTTGCCTTTGGGCTCTGGTCGCCCATCTCAGGTAACCTATATCCTAGAAAGAGTTTGTCATAGTTTGTATTTGAGTCTTCGCGTATTGTTTGCATGACTCTTTCCTGAGTTTCCGGTTCAAGCTCTTCAAACAGAGCTTGTCCATATGGAATATGCTCGTTTCCAAATATATGTTTTTTGTAGCCATTCTGGTTTTCTTTCCATGTTACCAACAATATCTTTTGTGAATGGGAAAGCTTTTACCCAATGTTTCAGGCTTGCGTCATTTATTTCTGTAGTTGGTTTTATTTTGTCAAGGAACATGTTTTTCAATACTAACATTTCATTTGGTACTGTCCATTTGAGTTTTCTAAATATTCATCCCTTCTCGGTTCATTGTCTGCAAAGTAAGTTTTTATGACATTTTGTAAACTTTCGTTTGCAAGGTCATGTACAATAGGTTCTCTTCCTTCTGTCTCCCTAACTTTCTTTCTAAACTCTTCACCAAATATACCATCTTATGGTTCTGTGTAGTTCTTTTTGAGATAAATGTTCTAGAACGTCAGGTGTTATATTTCCATCAGCCATGTTCATTTCATACTGGTCCAAAAATCTGCATCTTTCATATCTTTCAATGGCATTAAAGCCGCGCTGAAAAGACCAGCTAATCTGGTTCACCATTCACTTCCATTGCGTCTACAACTTCTTGGAATTGTGGTTGTAAGTTTATGAACCACCTATCCGGATTTGCTTTATGACCCCA